GAGAGGGGGCACCTGAGCTCCACCGCGAGGGGTTGCACGCCCCGCCTGTCCCCGGGCTGAGCGGGATGGAGGGACCACGCCAGCACCCCCAGGAAATACCTGCGCCGTCCTTTCCCGGGGAAGGGGTGGGGGGCACTCGAGCGCCATCCCCGGGGGGGTCGCCTAAACTCAGTCCGGTGACGCGCCCGGGTTCAAGACCCGGACTCCGTCCTGGGGTTTCCCAGGGCATGATGACCCACAGATTGGTCCTCCTGGAAGGATGTGTGCCTGAGGGTTTATACAATATGTCCCAGGTTGCCTACTGATTATGTCCAAGCTGGTCCTAATTGAAAAGCACAGCCTCCAGGCGTTCTCTCAGCCTCCCCAGACTGTGCATTTCAAGGACTGGAACCAGAAGTAGGCGGCAGAAACCTGGCCGTTTTCCCGAGGGGGGACACTGATCACCTCCTCCTCAAATCAGGATTTTATCGTCCAGGAGCCAGCATTCAGAGCTCAGGGAATCCTGCCTATTTATGATTTTCCTGAACCCAGGCTCCTTGGACTAGCGCACACCGGACAAGTTCATCTGACTTAGTGGAGACTGATTTAGAGAAGGGGGTAGGGTTTAATTTCCTTTTCAGATTATTTTGAAAGGCTTCATAATCTCAGATTGCACCCCAGCTTTAAAACTCAGGAGCACACCAGTTAGCTGAGTATCAATAAGGTTTTTCCTCAAACCAAGGAAGCTGCAAGACAGAATGATTTAGAGTGTACCTCACTGTATTCTATTAATATATGTCGGATACTATTTAATAGTTTTAAATTGTAAGAGGTCATCATCATGGTTTAATTTTGCTGTCAAAGAAAGTTCATTCCTAATTGGGAAGTATGAAGTCAGTAATCCTGCTGCTTATTCGAGTTGTATTTATTCTTTATCCTAGTATTTTCTTGAGGTTTGCCAGAGATTCTGAAGCTGTGCACCTTTCTACCCCTCCTGCTGGTCCCCTGGAGCCCCAGTGTGTGGGAAGTGCCAGCCTCTCCTGATTCTATTTGTATTTTTGCCCAAACCAAGATATTTATTTTTATCTCCTACTTACTGCTCTAGCTTTCAAAACCAGAAGCACTGGTATAATCGCTTGAGAACAAAATTTCTGTCCTGTGTCTCTTCCTGCCCTGAGCTTAGTGACATGTGATGGTGAAGTAAACCCCTTTGGGGGAAAATAATCAGTCCCACCTATCCTGGTGGTATGTTCATTGACTGAAGAAATAAAAGCACTGCAGTACTCCTCAAAAATATATTTGAGGATTGGAATCACAAGGAGGCCAGAGTAATGAATATATCTTAAATATGTGTTATTTGTATAATTTGTAATTGTGTGCATTTGCTCATATTATATGCTCATACTAGAGGCCCTACCCAGACAATGGCAGCTAGGAAATACAGCTAGCTGTTGTCAAGAGAAGTACAAGAGTGCTTGTTGGAAGACGTAATTTCTCTTTTAAGTGGAGGAGGGCAGAGTGATGAAGATTTTCAGCACATTTTAAAAATCTTCAGAGAGCCTGAAAATTTTCCAAAGCAATTGCCCCTGGTGGGACTTGACTTCATGAGATGTTGTGACTCCTTTCCACACTTGCTGGAAACTGTGTTTGAACCTAGATGGCTGTTTGAACCTGGAGCAGACTGGACATGAACAGGTAGAAAGGGCCTTGCTTGAGCATTAGGAAGCATCCCTCCACCCTAACAAGAGGGACTAACATGTGTTGTGACTGATGCTCAGTATAACTCTGGAAAGCTTTACTCCTTAAAATTATGTCAGATTAGGAGTTAGTTGAGTTGAAATTCTCTGTTTACCTATCTAGGGTAAATTACGGACAGATTCTAGGAAATTCCCTGGCTCCATAATCAAGTTAAAATTTTAAAAGTTTAAAAATTAAAAGAGTTATAAAGTGCTCTCTGTGTTGTGCTAGGGAGAACCTATAGGTTTGAGGGTGAAAAGTAAATATGGAGGGCCAGGAGCTGTAGTTTTTGGCTCTTTATATCTTATTTAGGGAGACTAAAGAGGTCTCATGTCTGCAAATGCATTGATGAACAGTGGCTTCTGAAATGTAGAGTGGAAAGGTATTCAGGGAACTGCAACTGTTGACACATTTGGAGAAAGGGTCTGATTGATTAGTAATTTTTTCATGGTCTTAGGTTCACGGTGAAAGGTTTTGTGCCTGCCTTACCTGTTTTCCTAAATTCACTGTGAATATTCTGTGAGTGGAAGTTAGGTGGCATCTGTGATCTTTGCTCACAGACTGTTATTCAGTTACTGCTGAGTGAAGACCAAGCTCCTCCTGGGATGATTATGGGATGCCTATCAGGAAAACTGACAGGGAAAGGAGGGGATAGCACTCACCACCCCGCCCCCAACCTTTTCACTTCTTAGAAGCTTCTGGTGCTCAGGAAGCCCCTGCTCTTGTTTCACACGCCTGATTCTTATGCTGAAACCCAGCTGTACACTGACCTTTATTCCTGCTCCCTATTTGACCAAGAGCAGCTGGTCTCCTGACCACTTTGGGGCTACAAACCAAATAACGGAACCAATGACTGTTGTATGTACTCACTTCAGAATAATGTTTATATGCCAGTGCACATGTGATTTTGCCTAAAATTTCAGAAGCTTCATTCTTAAAATGCTTACCTTAATGATACATGCGCCGGTTTTTAAAAAATTAAATTATACATACTTGGAGGCATGTTTGTTTACATATAAATAGATCATTTTACGATGAATGATCCTAATGAATGAGTCACAGCCATTTGCTATTAACAGCCCCTGAAGATCTTAATTATTTCCTCCAAATAAACTTTATCCAGAATTCTTTAATCCACAGTTTTCATCTAACGGAAACATAAAGAGGTGAAAATGATGTAAGAGACTCTTGTTCAGGTGGTAATTTCTAATGGTTCTAGCTTAATGCATATACTGCCAAAATTAAAATATACCAGAAACTTGAAATCTTGGGTCAAAATTTATTCATTCATTTGTTCATCTGTCCATCTATTTATCTAGTACTTTAACATTTACTATGTATAATGTGCTGACTTTGAAAAAAAAAAAAGCACAGTATAAGAGTTTCAAGTTAAGTTTTGTGTGGGGCAAAATGAGAGCTATAGCATAGGAGACTGCATCTTAGATAGCTCTGAGAAACTGCTCCAAAGAGGTAGCGGGGGAGTTGAGTATATGTGTAATTTTAGTGGAAAGGGAGTACATGCAATCAAGCACATATTTTTTGCAGAAGGTTTCTGCAATCATGAGGAGCAGATGTCATCATGTAGGAGATGCAAGAATTGGGCTCATAAAATCGGCTCCTGAAAATACCTGTCTGAAGAGCTGTCCTGCCAACTTTTCCTTGAGCACAGGCACGTCATTTCTGATCTTTGCACACAACTTCTTTTGGGGGTGTTGAAGGTCAGCAGCTGAAACAGCGCATGATTTAATCCTTCTAGAGGAAGATGGCATGCACCTGTGGCAAGTGCCAATTTGTAGTTGATGATGAGATGGTCTAGGTTTTCTGATTGATTCAGTGGCGTACAAGACACAAATGGATTCTGTTAGAAGTTGGCCTCTGGTCAAAGTAGGCATTTCATCAATTCCTTCCTTCAGGTTGATCAAGTTTCCTTTCATTCACTGCTGAGAGTCCTTATCATGAAAGGATTATGAACTATGTCATGTACTTTTTCTGCATCTATTGAAAATATCATATGGTTTTCCTGTTTTTATTCCATGAGTAGGGTGTATTATGTTGATTATTCAGATACTAAACCAACATAGTCTCTTTTAATGGACCTCACTTGGTCATGATCTATTGTCTTATAAAGTTTTGAATTTGATTTGCTGATTTTTTTTTAAGGATTTTACATCTACAGTCATGAGGGCTATTGGTGCATATTTCTCTTGCCATGAGGTGTTTCTGTCTGGTTTTGGAATCAGGCCTTATATAACCAGTTGCAAGGGGTTCCCATGAATGTGTGTGTACAATTGGTAGTGGCATTTCTTTTTTAATTATATGGAATTCACCAGTGAAGCCATCTGGGCCTGGAGTTTTCTTTGTGGGATGATTTTCAGTTAGGAATTTAATGACTTTAGTTGATAAAAAGTTGTTCAAATTCTCTATTTTTGTTGTATCCAGATTTGGTGATGTAGGTCTTCCTTGGGGATTGTCCATTTTCCATAGGTTATCAAATTTGTTGGCAGTAAGTGCTCAAAATATGATTCTTCTAGTGCCTGAAGCATCTTTGTGGTCCTTCTTTCCTTCCCAATAATGGTGATTTATGTGTCTTCTCTTTCTTCTTTTTTCTTTATCACAGGAGTCAGGACTGAGAAAGTGCAGGGGAGGGGGCCTCAGGGAGAGCATGTGACTGGAGCAAAGCTCTAAGCTGAGAGAAGGGGGAGAAAGGGCCTGGGAGTGTGCCCTGGACACCTTGCAGGCGAGGGCAGGGTCAGGAAGCCATAGTGATGCATTAATCACAAACCAACCTTCAGGGGAGCCCCTTCCCCTAGTAGGACACCTGAGTGCTTGGTCGTGGGCCAGGTTGGGGGAACCCGGGCCTCCTCGCTGCAGTCTGTCTATGAGGCCCACCCTCGTGGCTGCATGTACTTTCCTGTGCATCCATAAAGGTCCTGCACCCTCAGGACCTCCATCATCCCTCCAACTCGCAGTGAAGTCCAGGATACCTTTAAGACCTAGGAACCCTCTGAACTGCTCAGCAGTTTGCAGTCATTGGCTTATATTTGTCACACACTCACTCTGTGGTCCAGTTCTATTTTTAGATGTATACATCTTCTTCCCAAATTATATTCAAAGCCTTGCTTCATCAAGATTATCTTTTGAATGCCTGAAACTTGATAGCTGTTGATAATTTCATAGATTAGCAATCCTTCCACATATGCTCAGTAAGGAAAAATACGATCATGATAAATCCCAGGAATAATTTGCTTAAAAATAAACAGCTTATGCCATTTGCAGCAACAGGAATGACCCTAGAGATTATCATGCCAAGTGAAGAAAGATGGACATTGAAAGCCAAATACCCATATCACGTATATGTGAAACCTAAAAAATGGTACAAATGAACTTATATATAAGCTAGAAATAGACTCACAGACATAGGAACCAAATTTATGGTTTCCAAAGGGTAATGGGGTTGGGGGAGGTATAAATTAGGAATTTTGAATTAATGATATACACTACTATATATAAAATAGATAACCAAAAAGGTTCTACTGTATAGCACAGGGAACTATATTCAATATCTTGTAATAACCCATAATGGAAAACAGTCTGAAAAATAATTATATATACATATGTAAAAAAAGTAGCTTAGAGCTATTAAGGGCTTGATGTATATAAAATATAATTATGCGTTATTCAACAAAAAATGCTAATTAAGCATCTCTTATGTGCCAGGTGTGTGCTCAGTGAGGAGGAAACGGCAATAAATAAGACAGACCAGCCTGGCCCTCATTTTGCTTATAGGTTTATGAGACAGACACACAATAAACATATAAGTGAACAAGCAAGTTTAGAGTAGCTGAAGTTAGAAACTTAATGAATGGTGGTCTCTTGAAGCTGTATTTACTCCACACAGTTGGTTAACACTAGCAAATGGAAGCTTGTTTGTGTAAAAGATGAGCCTAACATACTTACCACAAAATTCCAAGTGGAGGAATCTGTAAACAAGGATCTAATTTTCAGACAGACAAACCAAGCCATTTTCCTGGGACATTTCCAGGACTGAATCTCTTTCCCAAAGCCTTTTACCCAAATGAAATAGAGATCTCTGTAAAGCCCAGATAGAACCACACTGATTTATCCAGTAGTTATTTATTCCTTTTTTCATGCTTCATTCATTGTTCTAAGACAAAGATAAAGATCACATGAGTACTTACTGGTTACAATTCCTACTAGTGTCTGGTATTTATTTGCAATTTATTTTCTTTTTTTCACTATATTAAATAAGCACAGTTAGTGCTTTGAAAATTCTTGGTAAAGAGGAATTATAAGTGGATAAGACATTCCTTTCCCAGCCTCAGAAATTATTCCTAAAGTCAGATAGTATTTTTAATACAAAACATTTATAAATCTAATCTGTTATTTTAGGTGACCTTTCATTGTGATCCACAGGAAATAAATCAAGCTTTTACTTTTGCATCTGGAAACTATTTCTAAGTCAGTTATATGCACATTGCTCCAGAAAGTTAACATAGGTGATAGAAATTGATTTTTTTTTTTCTTCTAGGAAAGTCTTAGTAGACAGCGATACTTGAATTCTTTATTTTCTCATGAAAACTCCACTGCTGTCTATGGAATAAACCAGTTTTCTTATTTGTTTCCTGAAGAGTTTAAAGGTATGGACTCTGGGGTTATTAGCTGATTAGTTTCCTGATTTTAATTTGTTTCCTTAATTTTTAAGAATCTTCAGTTGTGAATCTAGTAAACTGAGTAATAGTTAACATTTATTAAATACTTAAAAGTGTTTAATACTTTGTCAAGCAAGTACCTGATGCTGACAGTTGGAGAAAAAAGTTCATGGCCACTTTCTTCTAATAATCACTTAAGAACTAAATACTATAAATGCAGACATTTTCCTGTGGCTCTGAGAAATAGCACCTCATCCCTCCTCCAGTTTTCTATGCTATTTCTGTTCGAGACCCCCCCTGGTTATGATAAAACAGATGTCAATTATACTCATTTTTTATTGACCTGCTTCTGTCAAACCATTTCATGTGACAACCTGGCCCTATTGGAAGAATTCTCATCTTTTATAGCTTCTGTCTACTCCATTCCAATTATGGAAAAGAATAAAAGGCAGACTTTATCAGAAGCTCCACTGTTTCTGTTGAAGCATCCCTCTGAAAGGAATCCCTGTAATATAAAGTTGGCTGTCCTTTCATCTTGTGTGTGTCCTCAGCTATTTATCTAAGAAGCAGCCCTTCCAGGTTTCCCCGATTTCCGGCAGAAGAGTACACGTCCATCTCCAACCTGTCTTTGCCATTAAGATTTGACTGGAGGGATAAGCATGTCGTCACCAAAGTGAGAAACCAGAAGACGGTATGTCTTAGGTTTTTTTTTTCTTTTTAATCATTTTAGGATGGGAGTCACTTTTAGGGTCAAGTTCAGTCAAACTTGGAATGGAACCATCCTTTCAGTAGGTGAATTCACACCGCGGTTATCACAACGAGAACAGGAGACCACCCCCCCTGGAAGGAGGAGGCGCTGTTAGGCCCAGCTTCGCTCAGGGGATGAGCTCTGGGGTGTCCCTCTCTGCCTGCCCGGCCCCCATTCAGACTCCCAGGACTCTGCAGAACAGCGGGTGGAAGGCTGAGGGAGGGGAACATGACCAAGTTAAGTAGCTCAAAAGGGAAACAACTTGAAATCAGGCGCCTGGTCCCTCAGTGCCCCCTGAACCCTTGGGCCCATCCCTTGAGCTCCCTCAGAGACCCTGCCCCCAGCCCCACCCCTGCAGAATCACACACCTTTTATCTGTGGTCCTTAAAAAAGCTGTCAGATCTGCTTTGATATGACATAGACGTGCCTGGAAATTACCAACTGTGCAAAATCATAAAATGAAAATGAAAGGGATTGTAGAAGAAATGAGGTTAAGACTGCACTAAAAATTCATGACACATTAAAAAAAAAAAGAACCAGAAAGTAGTAAAAGTAACAGCACGGTTTTATCTGTGTTAAATGATAAACAAATGTGTAAGCCCTGCAGTAAGTGCAACCATTTACCACCATATGATATCACTTTTATGTGGAATCTAAAATATGACACAAATGAACTTATCTACGAAACAGAAGCAGACTCAAGACACAGAGAACAGACTTCCTCTTGCCAGGGAGGAGGGGTATAAGGGGATGTATTGAGAGTTTGGGGTTAGCACGTGCAAGCTATTACATATAGAATGGATAAACAACTGAGTCCTACTGTACAACACAGGAAACTGTATTCAATATCCTGTGATAAACCAGAATGGAAAAGAATATGAAAAAGAGTGTGTGTGTGTGTAACAGACTCACTTTGCTATACAGCAGAAGCTAATACTACATGTAAATCAACTATACACAATGAAAAGATCAATTTAAAAAATGCAGCCATTTACCTTGCAAAAGTCCTGGGTGTGCCTATTAAGATTATCTGGAATCAGGGAAAGCAGAACCCCAGATGCGGGTGGGGGTACTCATAGCCCACAGTGAGCCATCTTGCTGGCAGACACGAGAGGACAAGCGCGTGTGCCCTGCACCCCTGCCAGGCGCAGGGATGTCAGCTTACCAGGAAAAGTTGACCCCTAACTACAGGGATGTGGGCTCAGTTTGTCTGCAGTGGGAACCTCAGCAGGTCACTCCAGCGTCCTCTTGTAAGGCCAGCATTTTGGATCCAACAGTTCCCCAGTGACCATCTCATTAAGATGAACTCCTGTTTCTCAGATTCTGTATTTGTTGTTGTGCATTGAAATAACCACCATATCATGTGCTTTATTACTGGATTCTAATGAAGAGTGATGCAGTTTGATAAACCAGAATGGAAAAGAATATGAAAAAGAGTGTGTGTGTGTGTAACAGACTCACTTTGCTATACAGCAGAAGCTAATACTACATGTAAATCAACTATACACAATGAAAAGATCAATTTAAAAAATGCAGCCATTTACCTTGCAAAAGTCCTGGGTGTGCCTATTAAGATTATCTGGAATCAGGGAAAGCAGAACCCCAGATGCGGGTGGGGGTACTCATAGCCCACAGTGAGCCATCTTGCTGGCAGACACGAGAGGACAAGCGCGTGTGCCCTGCACCCCTGCCAGGCGCAGGGATGTCAGCTTACCAGGAAAAGTTGACCCCTAACTACAGGGATGTGGGCTCAGTTTGTCTGCAGTGGGAACCTCAGCAGGTCACTCCAGCGTCCTCTTGTAAGGCCAGCATTTTGGATCCAACAGTTCCCCAGTGACCATCTCATTAAGATGAACTCCTTCTGTTTCTCAGATTCTGTATTTGTTGTTGTGCATTGAAATAACCACCATATCATGTGCTTTATTACTGGATTCTAATGAAGAGTGATGCAGTTTGCTTACGGTGTCTTAAAGTAGAACTTTTATTTAGAAATCTTTGTACTAAAGGAAAGATGTTTTGGAGCAGCCACCACCCTCTTGGGGCGGCAGTAGGTGGGTGACCTGAAACAACCTGCATTTACCTTTCTCAAGGGGTGCGGAGCCTGCGGTAGCCTCCCTTAGTGAATGCGGTACTCTCCACATGCCCTGGAGCGAGAGATGTAGATAAGGCCACGTGAGATCCCTCAGAACTTCACTCCACGAGGACCACCAGCCACCCTTCCTCTCTTTCCTGCAGCAGCTGGTGCCAGGATTAAGGTGGTTCCACCCAGTTTCAAATCCCACTCTCATCTCTGCCTTTCCTTCGATTCTTTCTTATGTGAAATTCTTGATTCCATTCCCTTTCATTCCTTTGTTCTAGTTTATCCAATAAAAGCAAGTTAAGAGACCCAGAGTCAGAAAGATTGTTACTGAGTATTTAAATGAGGAACGATTACTGTGGGTCCCTATAGTTGGGACATTACCTGTGTGTTCGTAATCCTGATGGGCTAACAAGTCTTTTATCCAGGTCCTGTGCTTATCTGTTAATGAGAACAAATACGCACTCTGCTTACCTCTTCCCTGCCTTCTGCCCTTGGAGCGGAGGTGTCGGAGGGCAGAGCAGAGTGTCAGGGTAGAAGCACACACACACTTCTTCATGTTTTTTCCATGATGGTTTATCACAGGATATTGAATATAGTCCCATGTACTATACAGTAGGAACTTGTTTATCCATCCTATAAGTAATAGTTTGCATCTGTTAATCCCACGTGCCCTCTCACCCCTCCCCCACCCCCTCCCCCATGACACCTATGTTTGTGCTGACTTGTTTTTTTAAAAAGAACATCAGTCCAAGGGTTTTCCTAATCTCTAAAGTTCAGTTTTATTTTGCAATGTCAACTGGCAATAGTGATACTCCCAAGTTACCTTTAATGAATAGTACATTTGGATGCTTATAAGAGAATTGAATTGAAAGTCAGCAGGATTGGCCTTTATATTCTGTAGGCCTCCAGATTCTGCTCACTTGAGTTGAGCATTTGTGTTGTCAGAGATGTCGATAGACATGATTGGCACATTGTTAGATGACAAATGTCATTCTGTCTCTGCTTCTGTCATCATTCTATCTCAGTGTGGTGGATGCTGGGCCTTCAGCGTGGTAGGTGCAGTGGAGTCTGTGTGTGCGATAAGAGGGCAGCCCTTGGAGGCGCTGAGTGTTCAGCAGGTGATAGACTGTTCTTACAGCAACTACGGCTGCAACGGAGGATCCCCGCTCAGCGCTTTGTACTGGCTCAATAAGGTGAGTGGCTCTGTGGTCTTTTAAGCTGCTTGTTCACTGTGCATTCAGTCTGTCATTTACTCAGTAATATTTTCAAGTTTGGAAATGTAGCTAACCAGAGCTTGAATTAATCCAAAGATTTCCCAGATACCTGACTATGCATATTTAGAAGTGGGATCTTTAGAAGGTAATTGAGGTTAAACGAGATCATAAGGGGCTTCCTTGATGACTCAGCAGTAAAGAATCATCCTGCAATGCAGGATACACGGGAGATGTGGGTTCGATACATAGGTTGGGAAGATCCCCTGGAGGAAGAAATGACAACCCTCCCCAGGATTCTTGCCTGAAGAATGCCATGGACAGAGGAACCTGGCAGGCCATGGTCCATAGCATCGCGGAGTTGGACATGACTGAAACAACTTAGCATGCACACATGAGATCATCAGCCTGGGGCCCTAATTTGATAGGACTCTGACAGAAGAAGAGGATGAATAGGGCAGGGTCTCTGACTCCTGTATGAGGACACGGTGAGAAGGTGGCCATCTGCACCTCAAAGAGAAAGTTCTCACCAGACACTGACCCTGCTGGCACCTTGACCTTGAACTTCCAGTGTCCACAGCTGTGTGAAAATAAATGTCAGTTGTTTAAGCCCTCCACCCCAAAAAATAAGAATTGCTTCTGTGTAGGTCAGCCATCAAGAGAGAAACCAAAGTGTGAAAAATCTTACCTGCCATCTGTGTTCAGAAAAATATTTATGTTTATTCCCTAGTATTACTTAGTAAATGCTTTTTCTGCAGATGACCCATAAAGATGACAGTGTATGATTATTCATTTCCATAGAACTTCTGAATGCCCAGGTTAAAAGGGGACTAGAAGGAAATGGCAACCCACTCCAGTGTTCTTGCCTGGAGAATCCCAGGGACGGGGGAGCCTGGTGGGCTGCCATCTATGGGGTCGCACAGAGTCTGACACGACTGAAGCAACTCAGCAGCAGCAGCAGAGGTCAGCTGGTTGGGTGCCTCTGTGTAGATGCAGAACTGAGCCCTGGGAGGTGAGACCCTGTTGCCAGGTCAGCAGCTGAGACGGGCAGCACCCTGGCCCTCTCCCCACCTCCCACCCACCCCCAGCACACCCTCTGACACTGTCCTGGTCCATCAGCAGTGGTGTTGAAGCCAGTGAGGAAGGTGCTGTTGTGTACTGTGAAAAGCTGACAAGACAGAGTTCCCAAAGTTGAGCATCCCTCTCTTCTTCGTTTGCTGTGTCTGGAGTCACCGCCAGATGAATGGCACAGAGAACAGTGATGGAAGGATGCTTGTGAGCATAATGCATGACCTCAAAGACTTGATAACCTAGAGCCAGAGCTGTGGAAGGAAGATATGTATGCTCTTATACCTTCAAGAGAAAGATGACCAGACTTTATTATTGAATCAGTGGAGGTTCTAGGAACAGGAGATCTAGAGAAAACAGGAGCAAAAGATAAAGACAAATCGAGTTTAATTACCTAGTGAAGTGAAGTCGCTCAGTCGTGTCCGACTCTTTGCAACTCCATGGACTGTATCCTACCAATCCTCCATCCATGGGATTTTCCAGGCAAGAGTACTGGAGTGGGTTACCATTTCCTTCTCCAGGGATCTTCCTGACCCAGGGATTGAACCCAGGTCTCCCGCATTGCGGGTAGACACTTTACCATCTGAGCCATCAGGGAAGTTTCCATAAAAAACACTTAAAGTTTTAACTTAAGATTTTCATAACTCAAAGAATACCCAGATAATGAACTGTGACCAAGTTGAATCTTAGACTCCTTGTAGTAAGTTCTGTTTGATCTTTGACACAACCATGTGACACAGATTTTGTTGAATGATGCTTTTCTTTCAGCTGCAAGTCAAGCTGGTGAGAGATTCAGAATACCCATTTCAAGCCCAGAATGGCCTCTGCCGTTACTTTCCTGACTCACATTCTGGATCTTCAATCAAAGGTTATTCTGCATATGACTTCAGGTAAATGTCTCCTCCTATGGTTTTCTCTATGTTTCTTAAGTTATTACCTATTGACTACTTGGAATTAATAAGTTGATTGGCAGCATTGCTTCATACTTTTAAATGTTTTAAAATACACGTGATTCCCTGGTGGCTCAGATGGTAAAGAATCCGCAGGCAATGCAGGAGACCAGGGTTCCACCTCTGGATCGGGAAGATGCCCTGGAAAAGGGAATGGCCACCCACTCCAGTATTCTTGCCTGGAGAATTCCATGGACAGAGGAATTTGGTGGGCTACAGTCCAAGGGGTCACAAAGAGTCGGACACAACTGAGTGACTAACACTTTTATTAGAGAGAGGAATTGACAGTCACCATGGAGGTCTATGGATAGTGTTTCTTAAATATGATATACTTTTTTTCCATGTCTCTACCAACAGAAATAATGCAATTAAATTAACACATTTAAATTCATTTGAAGGTATAATTGATACTTAGCACCTCCTACCAAGTTTCAGTATCACAGTTGCCCTTAGAGCATTTCAGTCTTACTCTTGAATTAATGATAATAGTAAAAACTTGCTTTCTGTAGAGTCGGAAGCTAATGGCAAGCAGTCTTACTTACCAAGAAGCATTTTTGAACCCCCTCTGTGTTCCTAACATTTTTCAAGTCCTCGACTGTCAGAAAGATATAAAATGAAGTTTTCCTATTAGAGGCAAGTGGCATTTCCTATTAGAGGCAAAAGTATATAACGGGGCAGGTGACGAGCTCATCCTGCAGGCGTGAGGGATGTGGGGATGGGTGTGGAAGGGACTTGTGTGGGAGTGGGAAGGGCGTGATGACTTGGGGTGGGTTCAGGGGAAACAATCATTTAAAAATGCTTTAAAAACACATGGCACTCAAAGCCAGCTAAAGAACCATTATGACCATTTTGTTTAGTGCAAAATTGGTGCTGAGGGATGAGACACAGAACCATCCAACTCCTTGCTCCATTTTTTAGAAATATGAAGGAAGCTTTGAAACAGAGAAAGTAAAAAAATTAAATTTGGCTAAGGTGACAGACTGGTCTACTACTTACTGAATATAAAAGCATCTCTGGGTCTAGATGGCATGTCCCCATGGAATCTGAAAGAAATCATGAGTGACTCTGGATCCTAGAACAAAGTGGAACCCACACCACCATCCATGTGTCTGAGGACGGGCTGACCATCCCCTCGGCTCCTGGCTGCCGGAGCAGCTGTCACCTGCCAGCTCAGTCCCCAAGGGCAGGATGCACAGAATCGTGATAAACGGGCAGAGTCCCTGGGCACAGTGGTCCCCACCTCCCTTGAGGGTGAAGGTCACATACTTTCTAAGTGAGCAAGTGAGCCCCTATGCTGCCAGATCCTGGAGAGTCTAAGGTGGGTGTGTGCACAGGATCCTCCCGAGGTTGACAGTGTGATCAGAGAGAACTCAAGGCATCCCTTGTCACAAGGAGCAGATTGAGAAAGTTAGGGAGAAATAAAAGAATAATGGGCATCGGTCTACTTTAGAGAGACCAAGCGAAGGTGACTGCAAGATTCATCTGTCCTTGGATCAGAAGGCAGAGGCCGCTGTGAAAACCCACCCCCCCATCACACAGAATATTAAACTCTGAGAACATGGCGCCAAGCTAACCACATTAGACTCTCTCTGCAAGAATACCTTCCTTTGATTTATTCATTCATTCAGATATTTTACTGAACACTGTTTCAGGTTCTGGGGATTTGGCAGTGAACACAGCGGACAAAAGCTCTGCCCTCTGGACTATATTTTAGTGATAGAGACAAGCAGTAAACCAAAGAAATAAAAATATGAATGGTCTGCTAGATGAAATAGCTTTAAAGAGAACTAAACAGCCATGAGGTAAAGAGGAAACAACAGGGGTAGGAAGTTGCGATCTCAGGATGGAAGCCCAGGAAGGGGGTTCCTGGAGAATGTAACATTTAGTGAAGACTTAACTCTGCAGCTACCTGGGGAAACACAGCGCCTGGCAGAAGGGATTGTATGTGCAAAGGCCCTGTGGCAGACACTGGTCTGGCATAGCTATAGATCAGTGAGGAAGCCCCTGTGACTGTCCTGTCATCTCATGTGGCGTCATGTCATGGAGAGACGCACTAGACTGGAGGTGATGAGGTGACAGAGGTCGTCAGGGAATGAACCTGGGGCAAAAGTGGAACAAAGGGCCTAAAAGGCCTAAAAGGGAAGGAAAAAAAAACCCCAAAAGGCCGAATGAAGGAAGACCGGGAAGAAAAAAAAAGAAAAAGGCAAGGAAGAACCCGGGAATTTTGCCCTGAAAGACTGAAAGAATGGAATTGCCAGGCATGAAGTTGGAAAGTCTAAGACAGGAACAGAACAGCAGGTCCTCGTGAGACAGACACACAGAAAGTAATCCCAGGAAGCTGGGAGGACTAGGGTGTGAAGCAGAACCAGAGAGCCAAGTATCCTCAGGAAGCAAGTTGGTCCTGGGGGTAACCTGGCTCTCAGTCCCACCAGGACCTCCGGAGATGGGCAGACTACGCATGTGAGAGATGACACCCCACCCGTGTTGGTGTACATCATCTCCCGGGAGTTTCCCCTGACCTCTATATTTACCATCATGCTCTCTTAGTTTTTTAGTATGCCCAGACAACACCAGCCCAGATCATAGCTATCAGCCAAAAAGTTCACAAAATTGTCTTCTAGCTCTGAAAAGATACATTTGCATTTAAAACCCTTCTGAATCCTAAAAGCATAATCTAGCCTTAAAAGCAGAATGATCATTCATACACAGGCTGCATCCTGCATTTTTGCTCATCAGAAACAGACCTCAGGAAAAACATTTCAGAAGCCAAACTAGAATATGAACATGACTATTTAAATAAATAAAAAGAGAAAGAACCTATCACGTATAACGAAGGATGGAAAAACTAGGATGCCGTAGGGAAGATGAAGTGTAAACCCATGCGCTCATCAAGGGTCTGTAACAGGTAAGACTCGCCCTAATCTCCAAATCTTTACGACAGTAACATTTAGGAGAATTCTTAAAGACTGCAGGATTTGTCTCTTACTGATCTGTGAAAGTGATGGTAAGCTCATGGAATATGATAGTAGTTCCATATTGGGCTAAAATGGAAATAAAGATACTTTTTGGAATATATTGTAACTTGTGTCTGGCCCACACCTTTCTGAAAGATGAGTGACAACAGTTCTGGGGCTAAATGGAACTTTTCCCTGGAGCCTTTTCCTACTGGTCTAGACCACAGGTACCCTCCTATTTCCTGTTTTCCAGCAACTGTGAAATCTTTCCTGGTCCTCCCTCAAGCAGAGATCATAACTAAACTGTTTCCATGACCCCATAGCATTCACCGCCTTCTGCAATTCCCTCAAACGTCTCTCTTTCATCCTTCTCCTTCCCTCACACCACCTCTGTAAAATGATCTTTGATTTTACTGGAATAATTTACTGGATAGCTTTTGTTATCTCTAAAATATGGAGGCAGTTGCCTTCTGGTTAATATGGAGAGTATCATGTTTGTCACCGTTGTGCCACAAAACATTCCGCAAACTTAAATAAAATAGACATTATACACTAAAACCTCTGCTGAAGAAAACTAGTTTATTAGATAACTTAGAAACGAGGGAAGGACACAATGTTTATTATAAACCTGGGGTATAATTTATGGGTCAAGCAGGCTATGAAGTCTATGCCTATAATTGTATCTTTATGTTGATTCTGAAGGTGGGTACAGTGGCTGTGGCATGAAACTGGAATTTGAACCAACTCTGTGGAACCTCAAAGCCCATACCCTAGCATGTTCTCCTCCAGAATTTTATAATTTTGACTCTCTTTAATGAATACCAGTTATTTTTACAGCAGCAAAAATTAGAAATGCCTGCTTGTAAATCTCCAAAAACATTGTCTCCTTAACAGATAATGTGAGTGATTGTTTAGAATTAACTTGTGGTTTCTATTTCAGCAAACCCCATTGGTAGGCACTCATGTTTTTCCCTCATTTGTGGACACAATATTCCCTTGATAGAAACTGGTCTACAGCTGGCAGGATGAGGGCTTATCTACTTTTTCTAGCCACTAATCCACCATACTTTGCTACAGCAATAAACTATCAAACGCTATCTTAATGGGCTGAAATATCAGTAACTTGGCTTCAGTGTCCTACACCCACAAAGCTGACCTTTAAAAATACAATTAATGGTTTAATTATGTACTTTTAAGATTGATGAAGGCTACATGTTATGTAACATCAGACTTTATCAATTCAGGTCCAGGTGGGAAGGCAGAACTGCATGCCCTGCTGTATTCCCAGTTCAGCCCTAGTTCTCCTGGCATCTTAACATCCCTCCTGCCCTATAACCACACTCCCCGCCCCCCACATTTTTGGGTAGCTCTTTTCTATAGTTTTTTTTATTTGATGTTCACTAACCTAGGCTGTCTCTTCTCTTGATTTTTACTTGGTGTGGCAGAGATGATGAGATTCACCACATCCAGGCTTTCCACTCTCCTTATTAAGAGAATCGCTATATTTTAGCATGGTACTTTGTCAACCAGCTATAAAATTTAATTTCCCATCTTCCTTAAAACTAACCTTGGCCGTAGGACTGACATCTAGCCAGTGAGACCCATGCAGATGTGTGCAGAATGTGTGATCACTTCTGAGATCTCAACAGGGACATAGCACCTCCCATTTCTACTTCTTACTGTCTGAAATATGAGTGAAATGGCTGGCACTCTAACAGCCTTCTTGGATCATGAAGTGATCTTGGGAATGGAAGCCTCATAGAAGAAGAACCCAGATCCTGGTATCCTGGAGCCCATAGTGCTCCTGGACTGCCAGTCTTCCAGACTTCTTACAGCCTCCTTTGTTTAGAACTTGATAATTGCCACCAAACCTACTCCTTGCCATATACAGATTAAATACATCACTTTTGTAAAATATTTTTACCTTGGAAATTAAACTTCTTAACCAATTTTTTTTTTTCTTTTGATAGTGGCCAAGAAGACAAAATGGCAAAAGCACTTCTTGCCTTGGGACCTCTGATAGTGGTGGTAGATGCCATGAGCTGGCAAGATTACCTGGGAGGCATTATACAGCATCACTGCTCCAGTGGAGAATCAAACCATGCCGTCCTTGTAACAGGCTTTGATAAAACAGGTGAGTGCTGATGAGACATGACTGATTGCTTTGCAGCTTGAACCCCAGCTTGACATGTGATTCCATCCTTTAAAATGCTGAACCTTGGTCCTCTTACATCTAAGTTCTCATGAACTTTACAACTTTGCCATAAACTTCCAGGTATACACGCCCTGCAGATCCCCTGGTCAATTTTTGGTAGATGCCGTGTTAAAATTACACTAAATTCTTGATCTAAATATTGGACATTCTCCATCTGCAATGTTTAGGATAATTGCTGGGGAAAGAGAAGTGCTTATTATTTCATCATACTTATCTAACAGTTCTTTTCCTTTCCTTTTTTCAAATTGCTTGGACATGTATATATATGTGTGTTTTCATTTTATACAGTAAATGTAACAAGCAAAATGAATTCAAACCCCTTTTCCATTGATTGCAGTGTGACACTGGTACAGTTCAGTTTACTGGCTAGTTTGTTAGCATTTTGTTAGTTTTTTTTTTGTTTATTTGTTTTCTTAAAACCACTCTACTTTTCAGGAAATGTTCAGTCATGTCTGACTCTTTGAGACCCCGTGAACTGTAGCCCACCAGGCTCCTCTGTCCATGAGATTTCACAGGCAAGAATACTGGAGTGGGTTGCCATTTCCTCCTCCAGGGGATCTTCCTGATTCAGGGATCGAACCCACGTCTCCTACATCTCCTGCATTGTCAAGCAGCTTTTTTACCACTGTGCCACCTGAGCTTTAAGTGAACATTCTTTCACCACAGCTATGTTCTCCAGGGTCTAAATTATATTTTGTAGGAAGTATCCCATACTGGATTGTACGGAACTCCTGGGGAACTTCATGGGGCATCGATGGCTATGTCCGTGTGAAAATGGGAGGAAATATTTGCGGTGAGTCTTGAACTGATATTGAAAATTCCAGGCTCAATGTCAAGAAAGAGACTGCCCATAATATGCATTCAGGGTTCTCAAACCACTGTTACAGTAACAATGGTCATCCTTCAACTAATGATAAAAATAAAATAGTGTTTTTTAAAAAAAGACACTACTGCACATATTCATGTTTTTAAGAGGGACTGTAATAAAAAACCAATGTAATGAGCAGAACATTACAAGATATAGCAATAAGTTACCAAAGTTAACTACTTCCAAAAACCCACTTAAGCTGAACTGCTCCAAAAAATGTCTCCAATTCCAAATTTGCTTTTTATAACTATATGACTGTCCATTATTTTATGTATTATAATGCCTACCTTAGGATCATCAAGAATCACTTTTTCTTTGTATCAAACTGAGTGAAAATCTGAGTATTTGTGTTGTTTCAGATTTAATATACCTCTTGCCATCTACAAAATTCTAGCAAAAAATTCTGTTCCCTGGAATTGAGAGGCTTAAGAAAATACCAGACACACTCTTTTGTTGAATAATAACATTTTTGTTAAAGAACAACAACTTAAAATAGCTATTTAAGTATTTCAAATGTATCCTTAAAATCTATATTCAAACCCTATTCTAAAACTTTTGATCTGGAAAATCAGCAAGTTTTCTGAATTGAGTTGATCCAAACTATATTGTATATGAGAGCATTTAGTTTATTTCTCATTAGTTCTAACAAATATACAACTTTTTAAAAGCTGTGGAATGCCCCAGGTTGTGATATTTATAATAAAATAATAGTCATTTTTAGATGTCTTTATAGTTAATTTGGCATTGCTACTGAAGTGGATAAAATATGAAACAGTGGTCTATTGCCCATAGCTGGAGCACAGTTCTCTATTTGAAAGTGCAAAATTTGCACAGAGAAATTAGAGCAATGAAACAAATATGCTAATTTAAGCCAATCCCCTTGAATAGGACCAAATAGATTTTTTAGCTGAGGAACAGTTTACTGAAGCTCTTACAATAAATTTTGAGTTAAAAAAAAAGTTATGGAAAATTTTGGGAGCATATATATTTTCTTGCTTCTTCTTTTATATGTATATGTAAATATATATGTATGTAAATACATATATGTGTGTATGTGTTACTTTGGCTGTTCCGGGTCTTCTATTCAGCCTGCGCGCTTTCTCTCGCTGTGGCACGTGGTGGCTTCTCAAGTTGCAGAGCGCGGGCTCCAGATCAGGCTGGCTTGGTAGTTGCAACATGCAGGCTCAGTTGCTCCACAGCATATGGGATCTTGGCTCCCCAACAGGGGTTGAACCCACACCCTCTGCATTGCAAGGGCGTATTCTTAACCACTGGGCCACCGGGGAAGTCCCTGAGAGCTCATATTCTGATTCAGTCTAGCAACAACAGCTCCATTGTTCCACTAAATGGCAACTAGAGCGTTGCAGCCTGAGCACCAGACCCCAGCCACGCCTCTCCTTTCAGCATCCCTGAGGGGCTTTGCAGGTAGAAGGCTGATGTGGTTCCTGACCCCTTGCTACCTCCAGTTTATCTCTGACTGTGGAGGGTGGTGCCTGCATCTGGGCTGAGGGGCAGCTGCTGCTAAAGCTCTAGAAGGAGAGTTGCAGGAACATGATTCGGACACTGGTTCATCTTCACCTCGATCATGACTCTGTTCCCTGCCCCCACCTCTCCCAGCCCCCAGCTACAAAGGGTGGTTGGGATCATTTCTTTCTGTTCCCCCATTAAGTCTGCACACTCTGCCTGGATAGTCATTATATAGGAGCCCACATCCTTTCCGAAAGTATTTCCTGAAAGTTAAATCCCTGATATGATCACATTACTCTCATGAACAACCACCGAAGGCAGGTAGCAATTCTGTGGCCCCAAGAAATTTTAAAGACACAGCTAATCACAGACAAATCCAGTCTTCAAATAGAATGTTTCATCGCTTCTGCCATGGCATTGTGATCCCTGCTTTTTCATGCTAAGGAAGCATCACACACTTGTGACTGAAATTTTGTTGAAGTTCCAGTCTTAGAATTTAAAGGTTTTAAGTTATATTTAAAATAATCCTATAAATTATTATATTGTCTCTAAAATACATACGAGTGCATTCCATATTTCAGATACATTCATCTGTTCAGTTAATAAGTTTTGAGTTTTTTTTAATAGTGTCTTGAAATAAAAACATTAAGCATCTCTGCTGATATCTGCTTTTGAGGTTGCCATGTTTATATGGACAGGTAGCTAGAACCAGTAAGCTATTTTCTTAGTAGATATTAACTTTCTGAACCCAAATCAAAACTGTTTTAATATTTAAAAGAGATGTAGTGCTCACTTCAGCAGCACATTTACTAAAATTGGAACAGTACAGAGAAGATTAGGGTGGCCCCTGTGCAAAAATGACATGTGAATTAGTGGAGCATTGCATATCTTTTGAATGGAGAGAGTAGCATGGAAACATATACACCACCATATGTAAAATAGATAGTCAATGGGAATTTGCTGTATCACTCAGGGAACTCAGACTGGGGCTCTGTAAAAACCTAGAGCAGTGGGAAGTGGTTGGAGGTGGGAGGAAGTTTCAAGAGGGAAGAAACATATGTAGACCTATGGCTGATTCATGTTGATGTATGGCAGAAACCAAGACAATATTGTAAAGCAATTATCCTTCAATTAAAAATAAATTTAAATTTAAAAAATTAGTGATGAAGGGTTAAATCATAGTGGTGCATAAGAAACTCATTCACATTAGTGAAAAAAACAGCATGTAAAGAAAAAATAGAGTACTACCAATGATTTCCTTTTTTTCTTAGGTATTGCAGATTCTGTTTCGGCTGTATTTGTGTAACGTGTTTGCCGCATTGAGAGTCGAATACGAAATTGAAGGTTCATGAGTAGAGCTGACACTTCATTCTTGGCGTTTCATCATTATGCTTTTGCAACTTCCCACAAAGACAGGTTCTAGGACCTGGTCATGTTGAAACGAAGCCATGAAAATTTAGAGAGAGGTGAACTGCCCACCTCTGCAGGAAGACCAGCACCACGGCCTGGGAGGAAGACTGGGAACAGTTTCCTCCTGGGAGGAAGGTCGGATCAGGAAGTGTTTTAGGTCTCTTCGTTCTGAAGCAGCTAATATCTGGTTCTGTTTGATTGTTGCTTCTGTTTGTCCTTTGCTTGTTTTTAATGACATATTTCCAACAGGATTAAAGAAAGGATAAGCAGTCCTTTTCTTTTATGGGATTCAGTCACCAGCCTCAGCTGCCCCTACACACAAGAACAGCCAACCTAGAACTGTTTGTGCCTGTCGTAGAGGTGTTCCCAGCCTCCCAGAGGGAATTTCATAAGAGTTGTGAAATGCCAATTGCTTTTCCCCCCAAAAATGGTGCTCACCCCTTGACCTGTGCAGAGGTCATGTAGAACGAGCCAAAAAGACAATCACTTTTTAAGACAAACAATTGAAACTAAGTAACCCACATGGCAGCCATGTAATGGGAAAACCTCAAGTAGCCTTGCATGAGAGACAATGTTATTTGAGAATTCTCACTGTCAGTAGGATTTCAATGCAATTTTTTTTAATGTGGACCATTTTTAAAGTCTTCATTGAGTTTGTTACAATATTGTTTCTGTTTTATGTTTGGGTTTTTTTTGCCTCATGGCATAAGGAACCTTAGCTCCTGGACCAGGGATCAAGCCTGCACCTCCTGCTTTGGAAACACCAAGCCTCAACCACAGGACCACCAGGGACGTCCCTCCAGCACATTTTATTTCCTCCTTGGTTCTCCCTGGATTGAGGAGCAGTGGGCCTTCCTATATTTTCTCACCTTTTCTCTTACTCTCAACTGCAAAACTTTAAATCTTCCTCATGGTCTGGCTTCCTTGGCTAAAGTCTCATTTTTTACCTTCCGTTTCTATTTGATAGCCATTTATTTGACTCCAGTAGTCTCTAAGGCTTTGTCCATGTCAGGACCTCACCTGTCTGCTCCTCTCGAGTGGAGGCGCCACTCCTTTCAAAGTTCAGTCTCAGTAACCTGAGGCTGTATTAGCCAAAATGTGAGCTCCCCAGCCCCTGTTTTTCCAGTTTTTTGCTTGTTTTTCGCAGACTCCCATCCTAGCTACTTTTCTGTGCATCCTTTGAACTTTCAGCTCATCCCTGGTTCTTAAGGTCATCTCCTCTCTTGCTAAGTCAGTGTGGCTGTGTAAGAACCTCAGAGCATGAAAGCTGCTCTTCTGATTGAATATAAGTACAATCGTATCTTGGGAGTTAACACAGTTGCATCAAATACTGCATATTTAAGCATTTCCTCTCTTAAGATTCATGGTCATTTTCCAATCTCAATAGAAGCAAAATTGTAAAGGTAGCAACAACCACTGAAAACAATTGAGACATCCGATTTTTTTCTCTCATGGTTGGCCTTTATTAATCTCCTTATTAGAAAAAGAAAATCCACAACAGGACACTATTTCTTTTCCTTACACCAGCCAGAAGCAGTTTCAAATGAATACGTGTTGACTCAGGTTTAGAAATGCTTCAGAATGAAAATTGATATTTTATTTGATTAATATTCTAAATATCCAACTGTACCAGAAAGGAATATGTCTTGATTGTCCTAGTTTGTGATGATGTACTAATTCCTGTACAATGTAAATGATTTTCTGATACTCTTTTACAAATGATATTTTTAATTACAGAATGATGCATACTTTTCAGCTCTTGTGGATTTTTATAAAATTAATAATGAAACAACCTATATTTGACTCTGAGTTAAGAAGAGTCTGTCCTTGTGTCTGGCTTACATTTTGTGAACACAGTGTTAATGTGTTTTATATTCACACAAGAGTTTCCTCAGTTCTGAACCCGTATATTGATTTTTTAATTTTCTCTGCAGATATGTTCAGCTTCCCAGATGGTGCTAGTGGTGAAGAACCCTCCTGTCAATGGAGGAGACATAAAGACATGGGTTCAATCCCTAGGTCAGGAAGATCCCCTGGAGGAGGGCATGGCAATCCACTCCACTATTCTTGCCTGGAGAATCCCATGTACAGAGGAGCCTGGTGGGCTACAGTCTATAGGGTTGCAAAGAGTCAACCATGAATGGAGCAATTTAGCATGCATGCACATAGACACCTTAACTGCAATGTCTACAAACCATCTCCTTTCCCTCCTTAGGAAAAAAAAACACACACACAAACAAAAAAACTCCCCACACCTCTTAGAGTCTCTGTTTTTGGTAACATCATGAGCAGTATATATTGACCCAATCAATAAAATTGAGGGAAATCTTGAGTGTTCTACCAGTTCAGCTATACCTGATCCATCACCTGATCACCTGCCACTTCTCTATTTCCTCTCTCCATCCTTCCTTCAGTGCATATTCTTTAGCATCTCTCACCCCCACTGCCCAGGAGTTGGCCCACTATGTCGGTGTCCTTTAATCCAAGGCTTCTCAAGTCCCCAGACCAGGAGTCACCTGAGGATGGGAAACTATTTCATCAGTCCCACCAGGTGTTCATGATGGACAGGATGCTAATCCATCTATCTGTGTTCCCTGGGTTGACAGTTCTAAAAGACACCACAATCATGTTATTCCCCCCCCCCCCCCNTTAAGGGTCTCTCCATGCCTAAAAGATCACACATCAACTCTTCTAAAAGAGATTTCCCAAAGAAGTCACTTCCTGGTGATAGCTCACAGTAAATGGTGCCACTGGATTTGTGGTCTCCAAAGGAGAAGGTCTAACTCTGGGACCAAAGACAGTGTCAGTCACTCACAGCTTTGTGTAGATTTTATTCGAGTAACAGGGATAAAGAAAGCTTCCAGCAAGAGGCAATGGAAGGGAGAGGAGAGTACCTGCTCACTAGTTTAAGCGGGACCTTATGTACTTTTCAACTACCTGCTGAGAATAGATAAAAAGAATACCTCAAGGTTGCAAGAGTTCTAAGCCCCTTTCCCAAAGCATACATCCTGAGAGAACTTTGGCACAAGATTATCCAGGAAGAAGGGTTCCTGGCAACTTCTCCAGGCGAAATACACTCCTGCTGTGTAATCAGAGGTACAAGTCTTGAGAAACAGGTTCCCAGGCAAGATCTGTTACAATTATAGTCATTAACATAGCGCCTAAGAAAAGCATTTCCATGAGTAAGACATTGTGCTGTGTGATCATTAGTTCCAGACCTAAAGAAAGGCCAGTTCTCAGGCAAGATACATTGCTGCGCAAGGCTTAAGGAAAGCCTGAGACAGAATGTTCACCTTCTCCTTAAAGGGCCTTGGACTGCCTGCCTAAGCTTTAACTCTTTCATTCCCCCCTTTTTCTTTTAGGAGAATATGGTTACCATGGATAGAGGTGGAGAAATCATTCCATAACTTCTTCCTGCTGGTAAGGGGTGCAGACCCTAAATGGTTGAGGCAAAATATTCTCCTTACCCTCATATTGAGGGTCTCTGATTCAGTGGCCCTGAGTAATAGCTAGAGAAGGCAGTAGGAACTGTAGGATCATGAACGACCATTTGTAACTTAAATCCCTCAAGCCACTTATATACAAATTTCACTATACAATTACAGATATAAGGAGAAAACAGGAAGAATAAGATGATTACAATTTTTCCAGTCAAGATAACTTTCCACCAAGAAGGGCTTGTAAACCAAGATTGTATCTGTGACCAGAGTGGAACATCAGGGGAGTCCATTTTGAAGAGTGACCAGAATCTCTGCATCACTGTTGCTCTGTCTGGAAAGCCGTTGTATCCTTTAGAAAGAACAAACTAGACAAGTAGATGAAAAGGCAGAGACCAGAAATCAGTAAAAGAATTAATGTAATCAGCAGTCCAAGCAGTCGCAAGCAAGAGTCAACAAATCAGCTTACATTTGGTAGTAACTTTGATCATGGTCTAGAGAGAGTCAACACTTGGGCTGCCCTGTTAATAAGAATGGAACCATTTGGTGTGTTTATTTACATTTTGAATGTAGTAGTAATTGGAAGAGTGACAACCTGAAACTTAACAGACAAAATAAATATTACCATTTCTTTTTAGAAGAACAAGTCTGAACCCCAATGTAGACAGCTGTCTTAGGGAGACTTATAGCTAGGTACCACTTGTCCAAGTTTGTCCAAGTAGGCTTTAGCCTCTTATTGTGGTATTAACATGTCAGCCAAGTAGTTGTCACCACTAACAATTTTAGCATTTTTCTAGGTATGAGAAGGTGCAAAAATTTGGGCTTAAGAAGATCTTTACCTGAAAATATCTAACTGTCCGAAGGCCTGTTTTGTCCATTTTTCCAGAGCACAGAGTGGGGGCCTAATTTCTGATTTCTACCCTGAATTCCATTCAGGGGATGTTGAAGGTCAGTAGCTGTAGTATCCATGATTCAATCTTTGTAGAGGCAGACAGCAAGTGCCAGTGTCCAGTCACAGGGCCCCTTTATGGCCATGAGTTTGACCATGGTTTGGGGGGCATATCATGACCACCTTGTCTCACAGTGCTGAGAAGGCTCATTCCCAGATCTCTTGAAGATTTCACTGACAGGCCACTCAATGTGCTGTTACTGGACTAAGCCCTGTGAGTAGCAAAAGTCTCTGGACTGCACCTGTCTCACAAGTCTCTTGGTCCAGGGAAATATTCCCTGTTGTTGCTTCTTTTCATATACAGAGTCACACCATTATAACTATGGATTTCATATGGAACTGTGTACTATCATATCAGTGGCTCAGTCACACACTCCATAATGTAAGGGATAACACTTCTTGAAACAGGCAATACAGAAAACAATATAGTTAGCAGTAATAGTAAAGTCATAAGTAAGAACTTAAGTCAAGAACTTCCATTAGATGTAGCCCAGTGACATCTCCAGGTCATCTGACTTAGTTTGTTAAATGACTGTAGCTTGCTGTTAATCTCCTGGTTTTAGGCCCTGGAGCATCTGATCTTTATTCAAAGACTGGTTACTGAGATAAGGTTTAGAAACAAATTCAGAGTGTCCTTTTTAATAGCTTAATTAAACATCTTAGCAGTGTAACATAACCACAAGGAACTATCTCGGAAGTGAGCCTTAGTAAACACAAGTGTGTGTTAGTCACTCAGTTGTGCCCAACTCTTTGCAACCCCATGGACTGCAGCCCACCAGGCTCCTCTGTCCATGGGATTTTCCAGGCAAGAATACTGGAGTGGGTTGCCCTTTCCTTCTCCAGGGGATCTTCCCGACCCAGGGATCAAACCCGGATCTCCTGCACTGCAGGCAGATTCTTTACCATCTGAGCTATGAGGGAACAAAGCTAGAACTTAATATTTAGTGAAACATAATAGATGCCATAGACCTGACATCAGTTGGGTAGATTTTTTCTTTTAGAGCTCCCCAGTATTCTTTGAGATTTCTGTATATGTCAGGAGACAGTTGTGGTTTTGTTTGTTTGTTTGTTTGTTTGTTCTTTTTAAACCTTAATGAGGCTGTTCAGAACCCAAGTGTCTCCAATTTCTGGAGGGATGAGACAGAAAACAAAAATGTTTTCATTTTACCCACAGGGATAAATCACTAAACTGCTTTAAACCACCAGTAACTTAAGGAGAAGAACTTCTTTATATCTGAAAACAAAGATTAGAAGCCTGTAATGTGTCAGATAAAAAGTCATAAAAATTTAGTCATATTTAGCAGCCTATTCAATCTCATGTAACCAATCCCTTTGTTCTGCTGTCCCTGCCCAGTGAGTGAGGACATCAGTGAAAACAATAGTCCCCAAGAAGCTCGTGAAGCTTTTTGCCAATGTCTGTATGACCTGGCCAGCAAAGTGGGTGCCCTAATAATTGGAGATTGTAGAAAACATATTTTTAACCATTTTTATCCAGTGTGAAATATTAACCCTGAAGCCAGGAAAGGCTTTATCTTATCAAATAAAAGTGAGGTTGTCGGGGAGCAGGGAAAAGTCAAGCAGCTGTCTTGGATTTCCCATAACCCCAACTGTTTGGTTTATAGCCATGGTTTATCCATTTTATATGCCCTATGAGGGGTTAATTTTTGTAGAAGCAGAATAAGATTTGTCTATGTGTGCCATAGTCTGTTATCATAAACCACATTCCAGGAAAACTTCGTTCTTTCAACAGGAAGAGAAAACCAAATTCCAGATGGGTACCAGCTTTAATTTACTGTGAAACAATAGTTATTCACTTAGAGTAACAATAAAAGATTTCAAAGGCAGTTTAATGTCTTAAGAAACTTGTATCATGCACAAAAATCTCTTCCACTTGCCACAAAACTTTTTGACACTTTCTGTATTCATCACTTTATTTGCCCATTCAGAGGACAGTCACCTATAAGTTCAGATTTACTTCCTTTTTCCTTAATGGTATATAATTCCATTCCTTATACTTTTTTATTGAAAACACAAGTCCTACTTTCTTTCAGCAACCATGAACTGTACTTTATATCATCATTTTGTAGACTGGTAAATATGAATCCCCCAAAGCTATATCATTTGCTATCTTCACAATGTCTATGTCAATTAGATCAGTAAACAAACATCAATACCAGGTATCAATTCAATAGTGAATATTTCCCAGTTCACGCAAGCCTGAAATTCATTTTAGTTTAATTTATTGAATTTAGAAGTGTTTGATATGTATGCGCTTACTTCTCTTTAGGCCAATCAAATAGAGCTCATTGACCAATTAGCCTTTAGCAATATTGTCAAGGATGGAAATACACACTGAGACACACATAAATCTGGACAGACAGAAACCTCACAGTTTTCCACTTGAAATTTAAAATGTCTCTTTGCCTTTTTTTCCTTGGCCTGAAGTTCTACCAATTTGCTTATGGCTAGAGTCCCAGACAGAGTGGGCTGTGTATCTCAAGGACATGAGAAGAGTTAACTTCAGATTTTCTCCCAGGCATGATTTGTTTCGCAGGCAGGATCAGACCTCCAAAAAAAGTATTTTAACAAGCCAGCTTTTTCCTAAGAACCAGTTCTGTAATTTCAAAAGATTTCATTTTAACCAGTTTTCTCTGGGGTCTAAAGAATATCACGGCCATTCAGTGTCAAAAATGTCATCTCTCCTTTTTGTAGTCATAGTTTCATAGCTAAACTTTAAACCAGAGAGTGTTCTAATTGGCTCTGATGACAGGGGTAGACTTGACTGATAAGATGTTGTCCAGGCAGAAAGTGTCTCTCCGGGGAGGTGAAGTCTTCCTTAAGACAAAGAAACCCTGTGTATAAGGGACTTTTTAGTCTCCAGGTATCAAATTTATCCCAGTTTTTCAAGATACAATTCAAAGGGGTGGTTCTGGAACTGTTAGCGCCCATCTGTAAGAGAGAAGAAAGGGCACCCGGTGTCATGGATGTTTTTCTGTGGGAGGCATCCCTCCTTGTTCTAGATGGGGGTGGAGACAGGTCTTCCACCTAAGCTTCCTTCCCTGGCCGGAGTTAACCTGTCTCTTACCAATGCAGGTATGTCATTACCGTCCCTCCCCATTCTACCACTAAGGTGGGGTGGAGATGCACTAGGGGTAGACCTAATGGCATCTCAGATTGATATCCAGGTCCTCACCATTAAAACCTTGGCTTGATTTTTTGCTCCCCCTCTGATGCCACCAGGGTTGATATGTGATAGCGAAAGAGGTGGTGAAGGGCCAGCCAGCAAGGAAAAAGTGATTTTTGTCCTTGAGGTATTAGGGCCAATCCTTTCAGTGCATTTCCACAGATTCCGCAGAAGAATATCTAAGTAGTTGAGACAGAAGCCAGCAGAGAGCATACTCTGGTCCACTAGAAGCCAACCTTACCCAAGGAAGAAGTCCATTGCACTTCCAATCTGACCAGATCCTAGGATTCCCAACCTGTGTCCTCAGAAATCTCACAGTTGCCAGCAGTGCCTCCATCCACATGGACTGTAGGCACAGCCATGACCAGAACTCACTTTCAGGTCGCCGACCCCGAGGCAGGCAGCTCAGAGAGCACTTATCCTGAGAGATGTTCCTGGAGCCAGGGCTCCACCCAGCTCTTGAACGTGCTCCTGTCTGCAGTGCATGAAAAGACAAGCCAGGTGTAACTTTTGGCTTCTAACAAGCGTAAGTGCTTTGTGACTGTCAATCCAAATTTGGGGCCTAAGTAATAGTACACAGTATCAGTAGGGATCACAAGTCCCTTGAAAGTCTATGATTCAACAGATTAGGTTAGTAATTTCAGTTCCCCAGGCAGTTATGAAATGGTCAGAGAGACAAGAAAAAGCTGACTGGGGAAAAGAAGTTTGGTTCATATGCTTCTGAGCTAGTAAAGTAGAAACTTGACAATAAAAGAGTAAAAGAGTCCCAGCCCTGAGTATTCTCACCTTGTCTTAAAGTTCCCGGACAAGCCCGCAAGATGATAGCTTATGGTAAATGGTGCTGCCGGCTTCGTGGTCTCCGAAGTAGAAGATTTAACTCCGGGACCAAAGACCATCTCAATCACTCAGAGCTTTGTGTAGATTTTATTAAAGTAACAGGTATAGAGAAAGCTGCCAGCAAGAGGCACTCGAAGGGAGCAGGAGAGTACCTGCCTCAGTAGTTTAAGCGGGACATTACATACTTCTCAACTAGCTGCTAAGAGTAGATGAAAAGAATGCCTCAAGGTTGTCCTAGGTCTACGAGACCCTTTCCCAAGGCACATATCCTGAGATAACTTTGGTACAAGATTAGCCAGGGAGAACAGGTTCAGGGCAACCTCTCTGGGGGAGATATACTGTTTCTGTGCAATCAGGGGTACAAGTCTTGAGAAACAGGTTCCCAGGCAAGATCTGTTACCATTATAATCATTAACATAGAGCCTGAGAAAAGCATTTCCATGAGTAAGACATCGTGCTGTGTGATCATTAGTTCCTGACCTAAATATGTATCTTGCGCAAGGGTTAAGGACTGCATGAGCAAGACCGTTCACCTCCTCCTTTAAGGGCCTTGGACTGCCGGCCTAAGCTTTAGCTCTTTCACTGGCTTCTCAGCCTCACCAGCTACTATTCTACCTGGGTGTGTGCTGTGGTCCAGCTCTGACAAGCTGCTGGGCATTCACCCAGTGAGGCCAAGAGCAGAGCAATGAAATCGTCATGTATTTAGTAGAAGTCATAACGAAAACATCAAGATGTTCCTGGATGTGATTTCACTGGGATCTCAAGAGTGAATACTAAATTGGGCAGCCATGATTTCTTGATTTATTTAAGAATTATTAAAAATGCATTGTAGACACTAGAAGCAAGTTTAAATGAGGCATTATAAGTGGTTTTGGAGTAGGAAATGGCAACCTAATCCAGTGTCCTTGCCTGGAAAATTCCATGGACAGAGGAGGCTGGTGGGCTACAGTCTGTGGGGTTGCACAGAGTCGGACAAGACTGAATATGCACACATAGTACATAAGTGGTTTTGACATTTACATAAGAATTAGTGATACATCATTTGAAAAAAAAACCTTACAGCTGTATAGCCTAGCTCACCAAGAAACGAGATAAAAATAATTAAATAAGATTACTTATTAAAAGAATAAGTCTTGACAAATAACATTTATTTCAAACTTCCAAGGCATCTTGGTGACAGAACATCCATTAACATATTTCTTCACTACTTCATGAGAAAAAGCAAAACTTGTAAACTTTGACCCCATTAAACAGATAGGAAACTGGGCATTAACCTCGTTGTATCAAAATAGGTAATTAATAGATGCATTTACTGTCAAACTTAAGGGACTACCATTGGCCACCATGCTATTTGTCTTTGGATTTTTCAGCCTAACCACCATCAGATACTACATAAGTATACACACACACATATAGGCAAAAGCAATTATATGTAATTTAGAGATAAACTAGACAGTATGATTCTTATAAGAAAAGTTGCAATTGAGACCAAAGAATAGTTCAGTTCCATCAAGAACCTGCTTCTTACAGAGATAATCACCCTAGGTCAAGGTTACTCTACATCCCAACTTTTTTTTTAAATATTTTCATAACAGAAATTCCACTAAGTATTGCCAGGCCATCCTAGAAAGAGAAGAAAGGCACTCCTGTCTGATCTAAACTCTGGGTCTCACACTTTTCATGACAAATGAACTTGGTCATTTCTTAGTTTATCTCTCTCCTGTTTTCTGGAAAGAATACCCCTGGTCACCTCAATTCTGCTGTGCCTTAGGGTGCACTCTGCCTCCCAGATCATGAGTCTTGGGGCTGGGAAGAGCACTTTTCCCTCTGGGAGTCTAGAGGTGCTGAAGCCTGGATGCAGCCTGAGGACAGAACTGGGAAGAGCAAGGCCAACCCCTACTGAGAAAGAGAGGTGAGACCAAGTTCCCCCCAGGTGCCAGGAACTGAGGTCTCCAGGGCCCACATCCATCCCTGGGGGCTCCAAGTTTCCCAAACTCTTCTCACATATAGGATCTCCTGGAGTAACTGCCCAGTGAACACTTCGAGGTAAGTTTCAGATAGATTTCTGTCCTTGGTCACCAAGAGTCCTAACAAATGCAATCTATGTTTCCAAAAGAATACATATCAAAAACAATTTTAATACTTGCAAAAATGTTTGACTGAACACCTCTTTGTACAGAATGACACATTTTATTACATAAAATATTTGAAACAGCTGAAGTTTACAAGCTTACAAAGTTTGAAATGAGATAACCATTACATTACATGGTTACATTAAGATAAGTACTAGGATATTGTTTTTAATAGGAAAACACACTATGTACATTGTTATAATTTAACTGAATTTCTTATCTTAATGTTTAGTCTGTTATCACAAACATGAGGTGATAAAATTATTTCTAGGTTTGAATCAGCTCTACAGTGCTATATGTTTAATATATGCTATATATATATATATATATATGTAAGTACATATATTACATTAGGACTCTGTATAGTCATGAAAATTCATAGAAAATTTTTAAAATGCAGACTGAGAAAGCAATATTCTTCATGGATTTTTGCAGATGATTTTAATCTGATTCATCACTGCTGAAGTAAGAGCTGTCACAGTATTCAGCCGTGTAAAGGAACTTATGAATGACTGGGTTCATCTTCGGAATCCAGTGTCGGGGAACCAGATATGTTGAGAGATTAAATAAATCTACAAATACCTTGTACCTGTCACTGAAAAAACACATATATACAGATGTTTTAGAATTATTGATATGATTTTTAAAATTTTCAAATAATATTTTCCCATAAATAAATTTCTATATTCTATCATATATGTTATATGTTGTACATATCAAGTAGTGTTAGTATTAAGATTGCTTCATTTTTATTCCATATCCAAAGTTTATGTCCATAAAACAATATTACATGTTTCAGTGATCAAGACCAGACTGGGCCAGAACAAAACCTAGAGTTATTACTGTCATGCTACCTTCATAAAAATAAGGATGTGTTCCTGTTTCTGACTTTTAAAGGGTGGGATGCAAAACAATACATTGAAAGCAAATAAAATTCCCAGTTGTTCATTGGAAAATATTTCCCACCTGTAAAGTAGCTGCAAAGTAATAGACATGAGTGCATTGATATATTGAAACACCATCTTAGATTATATAATAAAAGTCTATAAGAGCTGTTTTCACTTTTAAAATGCTTTTGTGTTTGTTAGCCAACTATTTTCACTTGTATTTCACTTGCAGAAGAACACTTGTCTTTAAAATCACATTTGGGTTCATATTTTGCTGTCATTTGCAACTCATGTGACCTTGGTCAAGTTGTCCAAAGCTTAGTGTTTTGGTTTCCAACTTCATAAAATAAAAACCACAATCCCTTCCTCTCACCAGGCCTTTGTGATGATTTAATGAGAAATTGACACACTAGGAAGGTGATTTGTATTCACTATTCCCACCACCACTGATGGGTGTGCTCATTTCCTATGATCATTTACAGAATTTATTTCCAGGAAAGGAGAAAATGTGTAATGATTATAAAAATTCAAACTAATGAATTTTTAGAATCATTCAATCTAACTTTTATTCCTGGGAAAATGAAGATGTATAAAAATAATGAAAACAAACTGTGCATTTTATAATTTAGTCAATCAGGTGGTAAGATTAGGGGTGAAAATAGGTGAATTACAAAGAATTTCAGGGTCACTTTGCTATATAGCAAAAATTAACAAAACATTGTAAATCAACTATACTTCAAAAAAATTTTTTGAAGAAATTTAGAGATTAAGTGTGAACACCTCATTTATTCTTGAGCTGATTCTCCTTTCCCAAGGGGGCATATAAATTTTCCAGTTTTCAGATGTGTCTATATATCTATCTATCCATAACATTGGGAATACAAAATAAGAAAATGAATGTCCTTGAAATCTCTCTAGCATGTTTTGAGTGCTCAGTAAATGTTGCCCTCTTTTCTTGTAAATAATATGAAAAGGGCACTCTGGAGACATGGAAGAGGTTTTTAATACTATAAAAGTCGTTTCAGTAAATAAGCTGTGTCATTCATCTGGCCAAGAGGACATTGGTGATATTAATGATACCAGTTTTAGTCTAGCCCAAACCTGAGGGAGAATGAGTTGAAAACGCTTCTCCGTGGGTTAACTTGGTTCCCTCCCTCACAGGTGATGAAAATATTGGTACCGTGCCCCCTGTCATCCCAGGATCCAATTGATGACCTTCCAGAAATAAGGATGTTTACAATGATCTCCAGAAGCTTCTGTAGGAATTCCTTAATTTAAGGATAAATGTGTTGCCAGCAGTTCAGACAGGAGCGAGTGTAAGTGCCTTGCCTAGATAAAGCACGTCTCTGTGGAGAAACAGGCGCTGGTGGCCCCACGAAGGTGAGGGGGAACGCCGGCTTACCTCACGGTGGAGCGCAGGTACTGGTACCCAGAGGACCCGCCGGTGCCCGCCTTGCTGCCGAGCATCCTGTGCACCACGCACACGTGGTTATCTAGGTGAACACACACATTAGCCCCAGGGCGCTGAGGAGGAGGGGTCGGAACTATTATTGCCTCTGAGAAAAGGCTCCTCTTTATCATCTCCTATGGGAGCTTCGCGAGTGAGCAGATGCAGCTCAAGGGGAGGTTGCCCGGCACTCCGCCTGGTCCCCGCTGCGCGGTGCATCCCTAGGATTAGCTCTTGGATGCCAGGGCGGGAGGTGGGGGCACACTGTGACTTCTATGAGCACTTGTTCCTATCGCCTTCATGGGGCCCTTCCGCCATTAAAACAAAACTACTGGCATTATATTTTCAAATTGCATTGACACAAAGATGACTACGTTACTGTTATAAATTAAAACATTTTCTTTGACCTAAAGTTTACTTTTTCCTTCTGATGGTCCCTGGTGGCTCAGACAGTGAAGTGTTCGACCCGGGTTCGATCCCTGGGTCGGGAAGATCCCCTGGAGAAGGAAATGGCAACCCACTCCAGTACTCTTGCCTGGGAAATTCCAGGGCCTGAGGAGACTAGTAGACTACAGTCCACGGGGTCGCAAAAGTCAGGCACGACTGAGCGACTTCACTTTTCTTCCTGATGATCAAACACAACATTTTCCTGGGCCCGCAAAGGACACGTGAGCCCTGAAAACTGCCTGCCATGTGCACTGGGTGGGTGGCCCTCAGAGAAATTGCTGAGCTGTTTTTACATAAAGTAGCCCTTCCCCCCAACACACACACACACACACACACACACAAGTGGAGGACAGAGGGCTAATGGTGCTTGAAGGGAAGCAGGGTTGTGGGTCAGGTTGGGGGGAAGGGCTTACATCTCCACTTGGTCATGAGTGAGTCCACATCCATGAGGAAAGTCAGGAGCTGGAAAGGGACCTGGAACCTGGGCTCTTCCCTAGGGAACAAAACCACCATCATCATCTGGACCATAAACATGTCCAGCCAAGTCCAGAGTGTCAGAAAGAACACATACTCTACAATCTGTTGGGCCCCAAACCAACATCCCCTTTGCCTCTGGGGAGCTATGACAGCTTGGATCACTCTCCCAGGCTTAGGGGATAACACGATTCATCTTGCAGTGTGTGTTTAAAGATTCTAAAACATTCCTTGAAATACATGAAATAACCAGAGTCACACCCCACCCCCATTCTCATAAAAGACAGACACAGACACCATCTCAGGTTTTCTAGCCAATAATAGTCAGAAACTTCTTCCAGGCAAGGATATTAAACTGTGAAAACAAAGACTGCCTGTTAAAGTTTCCTCTAATACATATATACATAATAAATATGTATAGATAAAATAAAATTATATGTGTGTATATTTTTATATATTTTTAAGTTTATATATATATATAATTTTATTTATTTTTTTTTTTCTGTTTTCATCTCCTTCATCAACTCTCTCTGTGTATTTTCTGCCGAGGATACATAAGCCTGAATGGCATATATTTACTAAGAATTGAGGAAAACAGTCAAAACTGTTTTTTATGCTGCTGCCATTCTGAAAAGTAGGTGAGAGAGGATTAAAAAACTAAATGAATTCAAGTAAGACATGCAGTAAACATAGATTTTTTTTTTTTTTTTGGCTTTATACCAGCGTGGCATCTATTGCTCTAACACATTCAATTTATGAAACACAAAGATGGGCCTCAGACATGGTGGGCAGTGATGACAATTAGACTTGAAATTGCAGAGCAAACAGAACAGCAATTTATATGGTGCTTCTACTTCATTCTTTTCCATTTTATAAACAGGAATAACAATGTCATTAAATGGCAGAACCTATTTCATGGCTAAGATTCTGAGATAGATTCAACTTCGGGTCCTTAGGACACAATGTCACAGAATTTAATGAAAAGCATATTTGATTAACTTGTGTGTGTGTGTGTTTAACCCATGACAGGGATAACATTGGACTCTTACTATTTAAAATAAAGAAAAACTTCATGAAACTTCACAATTATTTTCTAAGCTTTCCCCCAAACCTAAATGACTTTTTAAAAACTATGATTGCAATGTATAAGCTTTATACTGGATACATTATCTATATCTACTCCTCAATTTTTGCTTCAAATTCTCTTCTTTTGACTTGCTTTTACCTGTAAAAATATATCATCAAGGCCCCCTGAAGTGCTTTGTACGATAGCCGTCTTTCTCCTGCAAGACATGGAACAAGTTTTAATTTAATAGATAATTTAAGGCACTCCTGTTAATTTGGCATCATCACCTTAAGTAATTGTTCATGTTTTTAGAAAATAATGTGGATGTTAATTAAATATTTAATCCCTTAGCTTGGATCTGGAAAACTATCATTTAAAACATTATTTTAGTATTAGATTTTAAAAGACAAAATAATACACACATGTATACACACACACACACTTTAAATTCTCAAAACTTTTAAATAGAGCTAGAAATCATGCAATAAACAGCCACAGACAAAAGGACTTGACCTTTTTTCCTCTAAATACTTAGTTCCTGTATCATTTATGAATATCTCACTGAAAATAATGCAACTAAATTATAGAATTATAAAGTTTATTAAATATATTTTGTCACTTTCAAAAAAAGAAAAAATTGATAAAGATAACTTGTAAAATAAATTTTAAAATTCCTTACTTCTATGAATGGAAATATCAATGTCCATTTTATCCCCCCAAAGTAGGGTTTGGTATTTTGGTCTCACAGTCTTATGTTCCAGGGGAAGGATCCTCTGAATAGAAATGCCTACCTTTACTAAGGAGATGCTCATGACGTTTCTCATCAAATAAGGACAGTAATACCTCTTTCTGCTTCTGAAATTCAGCCATTTGTTCCTCCTTTTCCTCTGACTCTTCCTTAGCCTTTGGGAGAAAAGCTGCATTAATATTCCCAAGAGAAAATAAATTCTTATTTTAGAAAATATTGCTTGTGAGAAATAGACTAGCCCAGGTGCAGAAAAGGTGTCCCTAGGATATGCACTGTATCATCTAAGACTATCGCTTGGAAATTGTGAACCAGGTCCTCCCTCATGCCCACTGGTTCTACCCTTTTGTTTAAGTTTAAATGATTTGTTAAACTCAAATACTCTTTCTCATAAATGTCATGATAAATGAACTCGGGCAAAACTGGAGTGACTATGAGTGATCAATGTCTAATTTTAGACAATAATTATTTAATACAGGGAGTAAATTAATTCCACTTAGGAAAAGTTAAGAATTCCTAGTCAGAGAAACTACTAATTCTACTGAAATTCCATCTTCAATGCAGTATTCTATAAATACAATTCCTTAGATATTTTTCACTGTTATATTTTTATTCATTCAATATTTATTAATTTGTTTAAGGAAATTTGCATTTGCCTGCCTTCAACACATGCTCTACTTAGAACTCAATTACTTGGAGCAAAAATCAGTTACTCCAGCTGACTTCCATTTACCAGATCAAGCATATCATGTGGTCAGAATGTGTGTGCCTTCTATGGCCAATGGACTATTCATTTATTCAGTAAATGTCAGGCTAGTGATAGAGAAAAAATAGTGAGGAAAAACTGAGTCCCCTGATCTCTATTTGGTGGGACTGAAACAGTGAAAACTTGTTAAGTTACAACCATACAACTAGGTTCATCTGTACCATTTCTCCACATATATGCATTAACATACTTTATTTTTCCTCTTTCTGACTAACTTCACTCTGTATAACAGACTCTAGGTGCATCCGCCTCTCTACAAATGACCTAACTTTTTTCCTTTTTTACGGCTGAGTAATACTCTATTTTATAAATGTACCACATCTTCATCACTCTTCTGTTGATAGACATTTAGGTTGTTGCCAGATCTTGGCTATTATAAACAGTGCAGGGTAGGAATAGAGATGAATATGTAGAGAACAGATGTGTGGGCATGGAGGTTTGGAAACAGAGGGCAAGACAGCGAGATAAATTGAGAGATTGGGATTATATATACACTATGCATGATTGTGTTCAGTCACTCAATCATGTCTGACTCTTTTGTGATCCCATGGACTGTAGCCTCTGTCCATGGGATTTTTCAGGCAAGAATGCTAGAGTGGGTTGCCATTTTCTCCTCCAGGGAATCTTCCTGACCCAGGGATCAAACCTACCTCTCTTGTATCTCCTGCAGTGGCAGGAGGATTCTTTACCACTGGGAAGCCCTATATACACACTACTATAAACCAGATAGCTAGTGGGAAGCTGCCATATAGCACAGGAAGCTCAGATTGGTGCTCTGTGATAACTTAGAGGGGTGGAGTGGGGGTTTGGAGTCTCAAGACAGAGGGGATGTATGTATACATATGGCTGATTCACTTCATTTTACAGCAGAAACTAATACAACACTGTAAAACAACTATACCTCAATTTTTTGAAAAAAAATTTTAAGTAATTGTAACCATGGGCAGTGAAGTAATGGAGCAATGTCATATCATCCCAACGTATAGTAGCAGAGAGGTCAGGAAAGACCCTCCTACTGAAGTTTTCCTTGAACCAAGACCTGAAGACTGGGAAAGAGTTATCTGAGAAAGAAGAATGGAATCTGAAATGCAAAGAGCCAAATAAGCTAGAGCTAAACAATTGAGAATTACTGGTGTCTAAGCAGATGCTGCAGCAGCAGGTGTGAACAAGTTCACCCGGTGGAAGAGGAAAAAGAGGATACAAGGGTCCTGAGCCCGTGCATTGTGAATCTCCATCAGTTACTGGTTTCACAAAGAAACATGAACCCATGAAAGAGGTGGAGAAGTAAGGGTCAGAAAACGAGGTGAGGACAAAATGTTGATACCAAAACCATGGGGGGAAGATGTTCAAGAAAGTGTAGGTAGTCATTAGTATTAAAGCCAGTAGGAAGTGAAATAACATGAAGATAAAATGGCCATTGGATTTACATACAGGGGTCATTTGTGAATGACAGGAAGGAAGACTGAACCAGGGTTAGAATTAGATGGAGAGAAAGAAATATTTACACTCACTGCTCTTCAAAATACCCTGAAAATATGAATGCAATGTAATGTTCACAATATCCCTATGAGGTAAATACTCATATTTTACATTTTGCCAATGAAGGGAGGGAAGCAAATAGAACCAGGTAGCAGAAAGGTATGTTACAGGGTCACCAGGAAGGGAAGGGGGATTTGACCCACAACTGTGATAACACTGCATGGTGCACATAGCCTCTCAAGATGCAGAATTGAAACAGCTCTTCCAAAACTTTGGTCATGAAGAAAGGATGAGGGCCCTTAACATGAGAGAAATTGAGGAATCAACTGTATTGTTTTAACTGAGAGAAGTTTGCCATTGTCTGAGGAAGAACTCAACCGATAGGAAGAACTCAGCACACATGAGTGAAGGGGAAGTTAACGTGACTTAATGTATTGGTTGACTAGTCCTTTGTGAGCCCACTTCTGTCTAGAAGCAATCATAACATGAAACTTTCAATTAAAATGAAAAAGGTCTATTAGTCTCATCTCCTCAAAATCTTACCTACAATAAACTCCTTCATTTATTTTGTATTATGCATCAATAAAATTAAATCACTTGTATAATATATTCCAAGCAGAAGCACATGTAAAAGAAAAAGAATATAAGGAAAATGAAAGACTAAGAGAAAATAAAATTCCCAAAACTTCTCCTCTAGTAAACTTATGTTTACTTATGGTTTCACAAATACCTGAATCTTTGTGAATTCTTCTTTCAAACCTTTGACAATGTTCTTTTCAAGCTCGCCCCAGAAGTTAAATCCATGCGGCTCTAAACCTGGGGTTCTTTCCAGCCATGCCTGAAGTAAATATTTTCAAGTGAATACATTGTAAAATTTAAAATACGTAAAATGCTTTGTAACAAACATTTGTGAACTTGAAATATAAAATTTTCCTGGTTTTGAGGAAAATGTCAATATATCCTTAATCTTTTTGTGTGTAAATATTTCTCTTGCCTTTCAATTTCTGCAGTCAAATGCTCTACCACTGAGCTATATCCCCTCTCCCCTTCAATTTTTTCATTTATAAAACAGCAGTGTTTTTTTCTCCTAATCTAGAAGACAACCATATTAAAAATTTCCTTTTTATTAACAAATTATTACAGAAATCCCAATTTTGTTCTATAAATCTATGAACATATGTATATGTTGTTTTAATGAGGTATACTAGTTTATTCTCAAAATAGTTTATGTCCTAGGAGCTGAAGGAATCATAACATATAATTTGATTTGATATATAATATAATATAACTTGATTTGATATAATATATATCAAATTTGATATAATATATAATTTGATTTGATCTAAATGCAAGGACACTGTGTACTTAGCAACTTTGAAATCAGCTAGCTACTCAATTATTTCAAGATTCCACAGGATTTTTAATCTAGAAATAAAAATGAGTCCATGCATCTCTGTGAACTCTCATGTAGCCTATTCTTGGTTTTGAATTTAACTCTATGATTCTTTTTCTATAGCCATTAAGTGGCATTAATAGTATATTAACCTAAATCTGTATTTATAATGCCCAGGGGATTAGTGAGCAGAGCATAATTTGATAGAATAAAAGTTTAATTTGCCAAGTAAAATCTTTGTCCAGGAAATCAAGACTATACATCCTTATTTAATAATTTTCTTATGCAGAAACTAATAATTCCTCAGGACCATGTACAGACCCACAGAGAATTGGATACGACTGGGGGAAATTCTGAAGGACAGAACCTTAGTTATGAACCTTAGTGATGTAGTTTAATTAAGAAACATACTCAACTTGTGGAACTTTTCAATTAAGGAATATTTTAAAGTAAAGCTCATTAAATAAATAACCGTACCCAATTTAAAAATCAGCTAACCCAATGCTAGTTGCTTAGCAGGAATGTTTAAAAGGATTGTTTTAATAAAATATAGAGGTTATTAAATAATCATTGACTATAGAAATATCTCTGAAGTTCTCAAGAGAGTTCTTAATATTTTAATTAGTGGAATTTATCAATTGAAGTATTTTTATAAATTCATTCTTCTCTTATTTACAACAAATGCAACCCAATTTCAACAGGAGTTTTGAAGTCCGGACCTCGCAGAAGCTCAGTGAACAACACGTGCTGAGCGAAACGTCCCGTCTGCGCACGCACCTCCACCAGCTGCAGAAGCGTCCTTTCCTGCTCGGACTTCAGCAGAAGTTCGTTGTCCTTCCCTCTGAAGTTGTCGCGGTAGTGTCTTCTGTTGTAAGGGACCCTCAAGCTCTGCAGAACCCCTATCTTGTTTTCTAACAGGCGGAACTGCAGACTCTGGAAGCCGGACGCCGGGGATAAGTACTCTCTTTAAGAACAGGTCCCGGGAGAGAAGAGCAGGGGAAGGTGCACATTGTAAATCGCTGTAACACTGCCTTTTTGGGGAGAGGGGAAGGTGGTGGTCATGTGATTCTGCAGGTGTCACCAGGCAAAGACACACAACAGCCCAGGGCTGAACCTATGCCTTGGACTTGATCCAAATGAGGACAAGGAGCTCCCAGCCATCATCCTCTTTGTAGGCTGATGTTTGTATAGTTTGTGAAAGGTCCTATGTGTACCAATGTGTGTTTATATCTGTGTTTGTATGTTCACATGTGCACTTATATATACACATGCATACATGTACATGAATGTGTGTATACTAAGTTTTTTCTCAAGATAAAGACAGATGAACATTGAGCAATACTTATTCAGTAGTGCTAAAAAGTCCTTCATAAATTTTCTTCAGTTTCTCCTTAAAGTTCAATTCTTCAAGTTCAGCACTGTGAGGCTCAAGTGAAATGAATGGGGTGTTGCCTAGCACAAAACAGGACGTCACAAAATGTGGTTACTCCCACCAGGCACAGCCCTCACATTGCTATAAATGTTCTCCCTATAACCCGTACTATGACTTCAATTCACTAAGTATATAGCGAGAAGGAATTCCACTTCTTTTCATTTCATTTCCAACCATGTAGAGGACACTGCTTCTGCACCCTGTGCTCTTAAAATTTCTTCTCAAATCTTAGTTATGAAAAAAGTTTTCTTATAAAATTTATAGTTTGACTGCTGAACATTCCATAATAACCTAAATGGGACAAGAATCTGGAAAAGAATAGATACATGTACATGTATAACTGAGTCACTTTGCTGAACACCTGACGCTTACACAACATTATTAATTAACTGTAGTCTAATATAAAATATAAAGTATATATAAAAATATAAAATAAAATTTATAAAAAACATATAAAAAATAAAATTTATAGTTCAATCCATAACTTATACTGTCAGTTTTGGGAGTTCTTTATATATCATTCCTGTTTCTCTTGTACTTTTGGTTTCTAATCATTTAAATTTAGTTATGTGTATTGTATCAGCCTTTGAAGCCATGCTAAGCTGTCTTAAATCCTTTTGGGATAAAACCAGGGTATACATGATGAATTGAATTTAATAGGTTCTGTTATGTTCATATGCAAAAGGAAGAGATGAAATATTTTCAATAGCTACTCAAATGCTTCGAGATGACGGCTCCCATGTGCTCACAGTGACAGAGTGTCAGCAGGACCGACTCCTTAACGCCACACAAAACAGCAGGCTCGTTCTCCCCAGCCCATCAGAAGGGAAGGGTGACCCCTGCATGCTGGCAAAACCGCATGCACACCTGAAGTCATTGAAGTCCAAGGCTGTCATGGTCTCCAGGACGGAAAACTGCTGGACCAAGAGTTTGAGGATCACCACCACTCGATGCATTCGGGTAACCACCTTTAGCATGTTCCTCTCATCCCTGACCTGGGTGTTAGGAGACATGACACTGAGTAATCAATCCTCAATTCTGGGAGACACTAAATAGAGTATAAGTAACAATGCACTCCTGTGGATATTATCTCTACTTTAAAGAGGAACATTTGCATTAAAATGTGCCTTAGGTAGATGCTAAACTAATGGAAACTCTGAATTGTTTGCAAGAAATGTCTGGAACATGAAAATCATCTTTTTCTTTAAAACTAGAAAAATTCTATGAAAGGGCAATTTAAGTAAATTCTGGAACACAACTCCCACTGATTTCAAAACAAATGTCTCTCTTAGTTTTGCTCTGAGGAAGTTTAGGAGAACATGGAGACTTGTGAGTAAGGATTAAGCAGACCCTTGGGTTCCTCTGTTCTGTTCCAAGGGCAGGAGTTGCCATGGAGATGGATGGGGATGATGTTCACTGTCTGAGGATGGATGGTCTCTCTTTCCCAGCCCCCTTGGCACAGGGGCTCTGAGCTGGAGAACACAAGGCTGTGTCCTGGGTCCTCCAAGGATGGAGGAAGGTATGTGTGCAAGAAGTGGGCTGGAAGGGAGGCTGAGGGAACATCCCCAGGATTCTGACTCTTCCTCCGCCCACCCTGTTCCTCCTCATCCTCTTCTGGCTCGTCCTCCTCTCTTGTCTGTTCTCTTTCCCTGTCTCCACCTCTCCTCCTGTCTCACCTCCCTCATCATTGCTCCTATCTTCCCATAGCAAACATTCATTAGAAATACAATTCTGATAGCTCTTGATTAAAAAATCTACATTAACTGTCCTGGCAATCTGCCCTCATTCGTAACAACTTTTTGCAGGGGGAAAAAAATTGATTTCCAAACAAGGGACTTGAAAATAAAATTTGAAAGGAATCTTAACACAAGGGCATGGTGATAATTACACTGGAAGAACATGACTAAACTCTCTACACTAGAAACTTTTTTTTCCCCTTAAATACTAATTCCACCATTTGGTGTTAAACTTTTCCCATTAATAATATTTTCTGCATTCTCAAAGAAAAGTATGAAAGCAATATAGTGACATAGCAACTCACATGGCCATTCTGAAAGATCTCACGAACAGAGTCTAATTCCCACAGGATCTGCTTAAACCAGAGTTCATAAACTGAAAGGAGAAGATCATCATCAGCCAGGAGCCTTTTGACCATAATTATATGAAAGACAAGGCTAACACATTGAAAGAGAAGTAAAAATGTAACTTAAAAGTCAATAAATGCCAACATAGTCCTATTTTATGCCACAAACAAGTATTAGTGATCAAGTTAAAATAGCCTCCTTTTAATGAATGTTTTAATATGTCAGGTATGTTATCTATATGCTTTATGTTATTTTTGAACTGATTTCTTTCAACAAAATATTGTAAATGTCTTTTTGGGATACAGCAAATAATCTTATCTTCCCATGTGGAAGCTGGAGGTGTGTGGAGAAGCAGAAGTAATACTGAATATCTATAAAGTGAGATATTAATATTCATTAACCTTATGAATGGGCTTCCCTGGTAGCTCAGACAGAAAAGAATCTGCCTGCAATACAGAAGTTTGATGCCTGCAATATGGGTTCGATCCCTAGGTCGGGAAGTTTCTGTGGAGAAGGAACTGGCTACTCATTCCAGTATTCTTGCCTGGATAAACCCATGGACAGAGGAGCCTGGTGGGCTACAGTCCATAAGGTTGCAAAAGTTGGACACCACTGAGCGACTAAGCGTGCATGCATGCACCCTAATGAGTATGACAGCATTTTTATTTCTAGAGATTTAGACTTTACAGGGAGAACAAGCTATGAACAGGCTGAAACTCTGTCATATTCATCAGTTTCCCTCAGCTCCTGGCATAATGTTTGAGATAAACACTGGGTGATTATTTTATAAATAGATAAATTAAACAGCAAACATAGTCATTAGGGGAACATGGAAATGAATCATTTTAATGATTGCTCATGCATTCTGTTTGGGCAAAGGCTGTGCTTCTGTACTAATGAAGGGAATAAAATTATACCTTTAAATTAGAGCTAGGGAGACTTTAGAAATCGAATTTCCATCTTTAGACAAAAAGAGCAAATCAAATATTTTTTGATCAGTTTATTTATCAATTTTTCAAGTTTAACTTTGGGTAGCAGGTCCCGTGACCTGCTGACCTTGTGTTCTGATGGAAGGAAAGTTTCTCCATCAAATGACGCCAGCTACCATTTACTATGAGCTCATTGCATGGTGTACCTTGAACCAAGTGTGTAACACATTTTATCTCATGTCATCCTCACAGGAGCTCTGTGAATGGGAAGAAGTAATCGTTCTTCCCAATGTACAGATGGGGAAATGGAGAGAATTACTGTTCCAGAAATCAGACTGAGGTTGCATCATCTTTAATGGTAGAGATGGAATTCGAAATAGGTTTCTGATTCTAGATGTATGCTGACCTGCTGTCATTCTGCCCTCATTGATTTTGTCTTGGTATAAGCCACCAACAGAATGTCAACATAAAAAACAGAAGAAGTAACACAGTAAGCCAATTATTTTCCTTTTTTTTTTTCTCAAAGGAGTTGATTATATTAGCCAGTCATTGAAGAAAACGATCATTTGAGGAAAATACAGAAAGAATTGATAAGACAAAGAAACATCTAGAAATTTAGCACTGATCAGCATGAGACACGGGGCCATGATCAACCAGAGGACAGTATTATAACATGAAGGATTTAGAGTAAATCTTAATGTTTTGGGGTAACAGAGTCCTGTAAGACACATATTTGTGAAATCTTACACACAATTCAAAGAGTTCTGAGACTTCCTAAACTTCCAAAGTCAGGGACTCCTATGTTAAAAAACCACTTCCCAGAGGTTAGAAGTCTGGAGAGAATGAATACATATTTCAGATAAAATTTATATTCCTGTTTAGTACCAGATTTCTGTAGGACATGTAAAGTTACAGTAAATGTGAGTGATCTATTTCTTGAAAATAGCTCTGAGTTGATAAGCAGTGACATCTTAACTTTCAGATTCTTTGTGAATTCCAAGAGATAAAAAATCTCTTCGGATTAAGGACAAAGTCCTACCTGATCCAATAAGTAATGAGGTAACAGAAAGAAGACTGTAATAAATCCCAGAAGGAGGACCTATGATAATTTATCTGACAGCAAAGTATTTGCAAGCATCCTAACAAATGTGATCCTTTACTCTTCCACCATTCTACAGTTAAAAGCATCATAACTTTCCTCATTACTAATGGGAAACAACTATGAATAGTTACTGTTCAACCCTGTGTGAGACTTACCTTGATGAGTTATGATAAAAAGATGTTCATCGTGGATTTTATTTCCTTTTATTTCACTTTGAAGCTCCTGTGCATTCAAAACTTTTTCCAACTTCAAACAAAAAAAAAAAAAATAGAAGAACTGATTTTGTAGAAACTTCTATTTACATAATGAATAAGTTACAGTTAGGATCTAATGTACACCATAATGATTGCAGTTAATGACAATGCATCATATACCAGATCTTAAGTGTTCTTACCACAAAAAAAAATGAAAGGTGATTATGTGACATGATGCAGGCATTAGTTAATGCTCTGGTAGCAATCACTATGCCATATGTAAGTGTAATCAAGTCAACATGTAGGCAACTTAAACTTATGTGAAGTTATATGTCAATTATATCTCAATAAAACTAGAAAAAAGATTACAAAAAGACTGATACTGAAATTGCAAAACTTGATTTTTACCAACTTTAACAAATAGAATATGATACTATAAAAAGAAGTCTCCCAAATACTCAGAAACCAATCTACTTTTTTTTAAACAATTAATGTCTCTTCACAAGGAGTGAGTTGAATTTATGAGTTTTATTTTTTTCAGAAGAAATTATATCTGTGTATGTGTGTGTGCTGTCATGTCTGACTCTTTGCAACCAAATGGACTATAGCCCACCAGGCTCCTCTGACCATGTGATTATCCAGACAAGAACACTGGAGTGGTTTGCCATGGCCTCCTCCAAAGGATCTTCCCAACCCAGGGTTTGAACCTGAGTCTCTAGAGTCTCCTGCATTGGCAGGTGGATTCTTTACCACTGTGCCACTGGGGAAGCCCAGAAATCTATCCAAATATATACTATTACCCTCACTGAGAAATCACATCCCTTCCATCTCTCAAAGTCCATGCCATAAAAGCTCTATAACTTGCTTAGCCTACTACTGTGTCTGCTGTTCTTTTATTATCCTAAAGAGTCAGTTCTAAGAAGGTCTTAACATTGCCTATCAGCTCATCCTTAGAAACCCATCAACAAAGTCATCAAGGACTCTAATCATTTCACATCTTAAAAATAATCTCCAGCAAGTTCCCTGGTGGTCCAGTGGTTAGGACTCCATGCTTTCACTGCAAGAGGTGAGGGTTCAATCCCTGGTCAGGGAACTAAGTTCCCACATGCCAAGTGGCCAAAAAAAGATAAAATAATGTTCAAATACCTCTTTGTAAACACCCTTCTTTCATCTAAACATATGTTTTCAACATTTCCACTTTACAATAAAGAATTTAAAAGAGAAGTTGTCTGGCTACATTTGCAATTCTAGGCTGGGATTTAGTAACCAGGTCTCACGTGAACAGATCATGCAATGCCAGCCAGTTATTTATGCTTTCTCTGCCGTTATTGTACTTTTGTCAGGCAGGTGAAACTTCACATACAAGTCTTTAGAATTTTCTAACGAAAATATATGCTCGAAAAGCATACATTTGAATAAAAAGAGATATCTTTAGATCCACAAAACATCTGGTGACTGGGAATCTTTATGACCCCATGGACTATATGGTCCATGGAATTTTCCAAGCAAGAATACTGAAGTGGGTAGTCATTCCCTTCTCCAGGGTCTCTTCCCAACAGAGGGATCAAACCCAGGTCTCCCACATTGCAGGCAGATTCTCTACCAGCTGAGCTACCAGGGAAGCCCAGGAATACTGGAGTGGGAAGCCTATCCCTTCTCCAGGGGATCTTCCTGACCCAGGAATCAAACCAGGATCTACTGCATTGCAGGTGGATTCTTTACCAGCTGAGCTACCAGGGAAGCCCAGATGCAAAAACAAACACAAAACAATCTCCAAACATGAAAATGTCACGTAGTTGAGTTTAGGGCCTAAAAATGACAGATAATCCTTGTAAGGACCCTGCCACTTACTTGCAGGTAGTTTCCGTAGATAAGTCCTCCTTTCTGGGCTCTATTCACACCGGCCTGTGATTTGTCTTCTTCATTGTCTTGTGCAGAGAGTGGTTTAAAAGCATATCTGCAGGTGAAAGAAGTGAAGGGGGCAAAAATAGAGCTTGAGAAATCACAGTACCGAGTAATAGGAGCGACGAGAATTCTCTTATTCCTAACTTTTCAAAGTAGCTGATTAAACAGTGGGAGGAGGCTGACAGTTTTCACCCTTGCTCTTGAAATTCTGAAATTGCTGTTCGTATTTGACACTCCTAAGAGCTTAACCATACTCAGGATAGAGGTAAATACTCACCCAAAGTTGTTTCCTAAAAAGGGGCACCCACTCATGGTGAAGATAGTGTCAGGGAAGCCCAGGGCTCTGACTATAGCTGGATGATGAGGCTGACCTCCCCAGATGGTCCACAGCTGCCTTTTATGTTCCCTGCCCTCCCTGCCCCAGCCAATCAGCTCCCTTGCATCTCCTAGTGGGACTTCTGTTTCAGTTGGTACAGAAGCTGAACTTTGGCAGACTGTAGAGTGGATTTATGTCTGGGGCAGTTTGTTTGCTATAGACCTGAGTATTCTGCCAATAGTATTTGACTTGCCAAGTTCTGCTTTCATATCCAAAGTAACAAGCAGTAAATAAATCGATGAGAGGCAAAGTTTAAAAACCCGAAGATTTAACTATTCTATTCCAAGAACACATTTGCATAGTGTTAGAATGTATAAGAGAATGAGTTTGTTAAAAAAACAAATATTTATTCTCTTGGTCTTAGATTTAGATATTGTTACAACTCCAAAGCCAAAGAAGGACCTTGAGTGTCTCTGGTGAAATAAATTCATTAATCAACAGAGGCAGGATTCACCCTTAAACCCCAATTTCAACCACTTTTCAAAGTTTTTCTGGTCTGAATCTTGTCTAATAAATAGCAGCAGTCAGGCTGCTGCACTGTATTAGAACTTAAATGCATATTATTAATTTACTGACACTTGGGCATACTGACTACAGGATACTAGGAGTCAACCCACTTTGTCTGCAGATAATTTTAAAACAGTAATAACATAACTGGAGTTCCAAAGCATGCCCATGAGAAAGTATTCTTTCTAGAAAATATTATTGATTGGCCTAAGTTCTAACTGTTGCTTTGAGGTCCATGGAGCCAGAACAGAAACTCCATCCTCCCTATCCACTGCTACAGTGCACAAAGAACCACACAGACATGGATTTTCCTATATATCTCAATGGTCAGTTGATGTCTAATTCACCAGAGTCGTTAGAGGTCAGAAGCCTCATTTCCAGTCTTGGCCCTACCACTGACTAATTTGTGATATGGGGAAATTAACATGTATATGTATCAACTTCATCAAAAGAAATGAAGATGTTTAAAATTGACTGTAGTTTCAAAGATCTTGAAAGTGAAAGTCACTTAGTCGTGTCCAGCTCTTTGTGATTGCATGGCCATAAATACTGAAGTGGGTAGTCATTCCCTTCTCCAGGGGATCTTCCCAGCCCAGGGATCGAACTGGAGTCTCCTTCATTGCAGGCGGATTCTTTACCAGCTGATCTACCAGGGAAGCAAAATTCTGATTTTATGCCTATAATAAATCGTAACATTAATGCAGTTTTACAGAAGGATAAACAGAATGAAAATGTTTTAAGAACTTGGAAATTATGTAAGCCACATCCTTGGCCCCCGTATTCCCTTGGGGTTTTTACACATATACAGGTGTGTGTATGTGCTCACTCACCTCAGTTGTGTCTATCTCTTTGCAACCCCATGGTCTGTAGCCTGCCAGCCTCCTCTGTCCATGAGACTTCCCAAGCAAGAATACTGGAGTGGGTTGCCATTCCCTTCTCCAGCGGATCATCCTGACCCATGAATCTAACCCACCTCACGTGCCTCTCCCTCAGTGCAGGCAGATTCTCTATCCACAGAGCTGCCTGTGAGTGAGTCACTCAGTTGTATTCGACTCTTTGTGACCCCATGGACTATACAATCCATGGACTTCTCCTGGCCAGAATACTGGAGTGGGTAGCCTTTTCCTACTCCAGGGGATCTTCCCAACCAAGGGATTGAACCCAGGTCTCCTGCATTACAGGCAAACTCTTTACCAGTGGAGCCACAAGGGAAGCCCATTGAACCACCTGGGAAGCCCTTTTTACCGATAGATCTGGCAATTGCTTATTCCCAGGACAGGGGTTTGTCAGCAGGAGAAACAGAAATAGTTCCCGGTATCCTGGCCTGGAGTGTTTGGAAGCAGAGAATATTTAATAGCTCCTCTTTCTACGCGTGGTTAACTAGCTATGAGTTTACAAAGAATACAGCTAAATAATTTATTCTATTCTCTTTAAGGTTGAGAGTTGTTCTGCACATACTGGTCTCTATACTAGTGAAAGGAATAAGGAAACTTCTTTCACTATGAATTAGAAAAATTAGATATTTTAGAAGCAAAAAGTTTTCTTCTTTTTTAAAATAACATTCCACTTGGATCGTGTGTGTGTGAGTCACTCAGTCACATCCAACTCTTTGTGACCCCATGGACTGTAGCCCACCAGATTCCTCTGTTCATAGGATTCTCTAGGCAACAATACTAGAGTGGATAGCCATTTTTTTTCCTCCAACGGATCTTCCCAAGCCAGGGATCAAACCTGGGTCTCCTGCATTGCAGTCCACGGGGTCTCAAAGAGACATGACTGAGCACCTAAGCACAACACAGCACAGCACGCATCCTAAAAATATTAAAAGTATTTTTTAAATGAACTGTTAAAAACCATTGTCTCTGGTTCTTTCTTTGGTCTAAGATTAGGTGAAGAAAGGGAACCTATGAATGATGGAGCAAAGAAAAGAATTGGCAATAACTGGTATTGGGCTAAATTTAGAAAGTGAAGGAAATTTGCTTTATTCCTTCAACCATCGCAGTATTGGTTTTGAAAGACCATCTGTAATCTGCTGTGGAATGTCCCTTTTCCTTCTTTCACTTAGAACCGAGGACAACCCCCACAACCCTACTCCACAAACCACCTGTTCCCATTTTTCTTGCTCAACAGTTAAAGATGGTGGCAGATAAGGAAATAGGGAGTCAAGAATGGAAGTTCTCATGGATAAATGACCCAGCATTCTATTTTTCAGAAGATAATTCTAAAAAGTACCCTGCACCCATTTCAAAACATCCGCAAGGAAACCTCAAGTTATCTACCTCCATAAGGAATCTTGGTTTTGGCTTTTCCCCCTTCCCTGCCTGTCTCACCTCCCCCACTCCTCACTACTTCCTCCTGGGACCAGTTTCCGTATAAACTCCCCCTGCTCAAACCCTTGCCTCAGGCTCTGCTTTGGAGGAAACCAAAGCAATATGGAGATCTCTTATTCATCATGAGATTTAGAACATTTAGGAACTGAGTAGTTATCTTATTGTTTGTCAAAATCATTTTCCTTTCCAAGCAAAGAAAGTTCTATAAACATAGCAGCCATTCCACAATCCATTTTCATTGATTTATTTGGTATGACAAATAGCCACTTGTTATATGAAGTAGTTTTTCATTGGTTGTTCTTGTATTGCTATTGTTGATATTTTGCTTTAGTTCCATAGATGGGAGTCTCAAGAGAATTAAAATGCATTTTAGCTGATATTTCAATTTAGTCATACAAGTAGGAACTATGCAAAGTCTATTTGATAAAACTTGGAAAAGCCATCAATAAGTGAATTTTGCTCAGTTGTAATTATTATGACAGACCCAAGAAAAAAACAGAAAAGACACTATTAGAACACCAACTTAAAGACAAGGGGTACTCATGTTGCTAATCATAGATCAATTAAGGGACTATTTCTTCCCTCAGTATGGATTTAAAATGACTATGACTGCCTAGAAGAGAGCATAGACAAAACATCCTCTGACATAAATCATAGCAATGTTTTCTTGGATTGGTCTCCCAAGGCAATAGAAATAAAAATGAAAATAAACAAATAAGAACTAATCAAACTTAGAAGCTGTTGTGAAGCAAGGAAAATGATTGAAAAATGAAAAGACAATCTATGGAATGAGAGAAAATATTTGAACTTAACCTCCAAAATATACAAATAACTCATATAACTCAACAACAGAAAACTAAAACTTCAGTCAAAACCAGTAGGCACAGAAAAAGATGCTCAACACCACTAACTTTTCAGTCAGTTCAGTCGCTCAGTCGTGTCTGACTGTGACCCCATGAATTGCAGCACACCAGTCCTCCCTGTCCATCACCAACTCCTGGAGTTTACTCAAACTCATGTCCATCGAGTTGGTGATGCCATCCAGCCATCTCACCCTCTGTCGTCCCTTTCTCCTCCTGCCCCCAATCCCTCCCAGCATCNTTTCCTATTTGGGACCAGTCTGTTGTTCCACATCCAGTTCTAACTGTTGCTTCCTGACCTGCATATAGGTTTCTCAAGAGGCAAGTTAGGTGGTTTGGTATTCCCATCTCTTGAAGAATTTTCCACAGTTTATCCACTACCTTTTAGAGAAATACAAATCACAACTACAGTGAGGTACCACCTCCCACCAGTAAGAATGGCCGTCACTATAAAGTCTACAAATAGCAAATGCTGGAGAGGGTGTGGAGAGAGGGGAACACTCCTGCACTATTGGTGGGATTGCAAATCGGTACAATCACCATAGAAAACAGTAGGGAGATTCCTTAGAAAACTAAAAATAGAATTTCCATGTGATCCAGCCAACTCACTCCTTGGAATTCACCCAGACAAAACTATAATTCAAAACAATGCATGCACCCTTGCATTCAGAGCAGCACTATTCACAGCAGCCAAAACATGGAAACAACATAAATGTCCATCAATAGAGGAATGGATAAAGAAGACATATATACATATATATAAATATATATGAATACTACTAAGCCACAATAAAAGAATGAAATAATGAAAATAGTGCAGCAACATGAATTTAACTAGAGATTATCATACTAAGTGAACCAAGTCAGACAGAGAAAGACAAATACCATATAATTTCATATATGTGTAATCTAACATATGGCACAAATGAACCTATCTACAAAACAGAAACAGACTCACAGTCATGGAGAACAGACTTGTGGTTACCAAGAGGAGCAAGAGGGAGAAGGAGGGACTGGGAGTTTGGGGTTGATAGATGCAAACTATTACATTTAGAATGGACAGACAAGGTCCTAATGTATAGTACAGGGAACCATATTCAGTATCCTTTGATAAACCATATAGGAAAAGAATATTAAAAAAGAATGTGTGTATATGTGTGTGTGTGTGTGTGTGTGTGTGTGTGTGTGTGTGTGTATGTATAACTGAGTCACAAGACTATAAATCAACTATATGTCAATTAAAATATATATTTCTATTTTTTATAATCCCATATATGAACATGTTAATCATTCTGTTGTGTCTGACTCTTTG